ACAATGGCACACCACTTGGCAAAATCAATGCAGGCAGAAGGCAGAAGGCAGCATCGGCAGCAGCATCCTTACTGCAATGCAGTTCATATTTCGCTTTGAATTTTCGGCCGCATTCAACTTGGGGCAGATCCGCCCCACTCCACACTCATTTATATGCGCCCATGCCTTTGTGCTCAGTTTAGTTTTTGGGTTAACAAACCTGTGGAGCATAATGCAAGCATCTTGAACACTAGTGAAAGTGATTGGATATGTAAATTTGCCAAGTTAGAAGCAATGTTTAACAATGAGAAACCGACCGGGTCAGTTTCAATAACCGGCTTTTAAAAAGCGCCTAAAAAGCGCATTAATGTTCAAATTTGTTCAACAAAAGCCAAAACATCAAAGTTCACATGAATATCACAATACTATCTGTGCTTGATCCAACTCAAACTAAATGAATGCACTAATATTCTGTTGCCAAATATTTTTACATTTTTTATTTATTTTCTGGTAAAAACGCGCGGTTTTATTTGAAATAATTGGGTAAATGCCTGATTTTCTTGTATGTATTATACGGACACGTTTATAAAATACAATTTTAAAATGTTCCATGCCATATGGTGGAGTTGAATAAACTCAGAACAAGCAACAACATCTAACTCCACCAGTACTCTTCTTTCAAAACAATTTTGCGTAATCTAGCAGAAAGTCAAATGCCATATTAAAGAAGTAGAGCCAATGTTATATGTTAGGCATGGTATATTGAAAGTATGATCAACATAACAAGAGTAAATGCCAGTCTGTAAGCGTGAACTTTTAAACCATAACAGCTGGGAAGTCACTCTTAACAACATAACTTTTTTGTTTATTAAAATATTCAAACAAACTTGTTTAATAAAGTGTTCATATACATAGCTGACGTAAAAACGATTGGTTTAAAAATCAATCTTAGCTTAGTACAATATCATAAAAGTGGTTGGTTTAAAAATCAATCTTAGCTTAGTACAATATCATAAAACTGCATCACTATATAATCTGAAATCTTATATTTTCAGCTACCTCCGGCCGAATCCTAACTCCGGTAAGTCTTGGAATTTTGAACTCAAATTTGGCATATACATCCAGTTCGTGGTTATTTGTCCGTATGCCAAGTGTCATCAGGATAGGTCAATTCTGAAGAAAGTTATAGCCATAAAATCGCTGCCCATGCGCTGCTTGTAGCTCTGCCCGCTGCGCTGCCCGCTGCTGTTGTTGCTGCTTTGGTTCAACTTTCTGCTGAATACATAAACGCATATAAGCACGCATAGACACGATTCTGATGTAAATGTATGCTGTTAAAACTGTACATAAACATGTCTTTAATTTAATTAAATAATTTAATTAATATGCTTTTTTTAATTATTTAAAAAAAATTTTTTTCATTTTTTCCTTTTTGGTGGGAGGTACAGGGTATTTAAGAGTTGAGCTTGCTCGACTTTAGCATTTTTCTTGTTTTTATGTACATCGACTGCATTGTTGTCGATGAAAAATAAATAAATAAAAAATTAAATAAAAAAAATAATTGTATCTCCATTTATATTTCACATGTATTGCAATTAAGCGAGTTGGCATGAAAGGCTGATCAATTATTAGCAAATTCGAAAAGTAATTAAGGCTTAAGAGTTGAAATAAATATATAAAAGGATTAAAATTTTTAGTTTCAATTTCAAATTCAGAAGAGTCTAAACAGAAACGCATATGTCTACTAAGTATAAGTAGTAAGAGGCATTGAAAAGATCAAAACCCAACCACGACTATTAAAAGCGTCATATATCATTATTTTTTCCGCCTGATCCCTGCATATATCTGTGGTGGCATACAATACTCCAACGAACAGGAAACTTGCCGATTAACGTTTTCTTTTCTTTCTCAGTATTTTCTTTATAAATGTTAGTACAATAAATTGGTACCGAAATTAGTAATCCATTAAAAATAATATAGAAATGCATCTAAATAAAACTCTGGTTATTTTTGATGAAATATTTCAAGTTTTCTTAAAGGTAAGAGTACCTGGCTGCGAAATTTGATGGATTAGTGTGCAAATTAGTTTCCTGTCTGGCAATGGCTGTAAACTTCAAGCACTTTTAAAAGCACCTTAAGAACTGCATTTCCTTCAGGCATATTGACAACTCATGCGACCACAACATGAGAGATACGATTTTTTAACGACGTTACTGGTTTGTTCATTAAAAGCTCCACCGCTGCATAGCTGCTGGCATCTTATGGCATTGTAAGCATGCACACAAGAATCGTATTCCTGCCCATCATTTATGTACGTGTACAGGACACAACGCTTGCATTCACGAAAGTCTAGCCAACATATTGTGATTTTTGAATTTATGTCGAATGATGCCTGCCACGAGCAAAAGGCAAGAGGACAAAGTAATGCAAGCCAACCTATAGTATTCAGCGAATTCTTGACACAAACTATCATTGATGCTCCCCACAGAGCTTTCCCCTGAGCCGGCCGAGCTAGCCACTGACTGTGACTGCGGCCATAGCCATAGCCATTCAATGCAGGCACAAAAGCCGTTCCAGCTGCTGCCACTGTTGATGGCGTTGATATGTCCTTCTCAGAGCATTTGGTAAAGACGACAGGCATGTCGATGTCGCGCCATTGTGCTGCGGCTACTATGGACGATGACGTTTGCACAATTTCCCTCATTCTTGGCCGCATTCAAGTGGCCGTTGCTTCCTCGCTTTGTTGTACTCGTAGTGGTCCCTGCTGGCTGAATAATATAATAACGCGTTTATAGTGTCTTTTCAGTATTTTATGATGCCAGCCAGCCGGCTAGGTGGCAATATTTTGTGCGCGGCTGTTTGCCATTCAGTTTTACAAAGTCATACATAAAGAAACATGAGTAATGATAACTGGTTGCCAACCTGGACTACCTATCCAAAACCCAGTCAGGGTGAACGCAAGAGTGGAATGGATGCACTTGAACCTACATATAGTAGCTTTGCTGCCGTACTCGCGACTTTCTAGTTCAAAGGATATATCATACCTTACCTCTGAAACTTAATATATTTACTTCGAGAGATCTTTCTGTGTGCGACACATATACTTATATATAAACTTAACTGGCTGGTAAAAATATTATATGGAATTGAACAATTGGATCAATTTTTAAATAAATATTTAAATTATTTTGAGATAAGCAAGTGCTAAAGAAGCAAGATCTTTTATATTATTTCTCTTATTTCTAAATCGAACAGCAAAGGGCACAAACTATTTTATATATCAGTATAAAAAGACGAGTTGATAACGCCATATCCATTTTTCGGTCTGTACGTCTGTAAGAAGAAAAATATCTCTGTAAGTACAGAAGCTAGAATAACCAAACTAGGCATTCTTAATATTATTATTCCCCTAAATTATACCCCCACCCCCCACTCCATGCATGTTCTTTCAGTTGTAAATAATGTGAAGTACGTAAAACGTTTATCAAAAATTACAGCAATTGCAAACAAAAAGAAAGTAAATCGAACAATTCTATTTAAATTGCCCTAAAATATGCCACACTTGTTTTGATTGGAGTCTTTGAGTTCCTGTCAATGCAAGCCGCCCGCTCGTCATTCAGTCAGTTAGTCATTCAGTCAAACAGTTCGTGAGAATCAAACACGGAAAGGGTGGAGCAGCCGGCCAAGTTGTTGTTGCTGCGGCTAAAGTGCAAATTTTCCCCTAAAATATGTCAATCGAAATGTATGTAAATCACAGAGTAATTTGCATTTTGAGCGGCCGTACAATTGAATGCACGACTGTTGCTGGCAACACGTGAATTATTGCGACAATTTTGACAATTGGCAAACGCTCAGGCCGAGGTTGAGGCTGAGCCACGCCCATCATCCGTCCACCATATTCTAACGCACACACACACACACACACTCACAGAAAATCTAAAGACTGACATCTGGTGACTGACGGCCTGTTGTTGGTGTGGGCTCACAAGCACATGTAAATATTTACATATTGTATATATATATGTATGTATATATAAGTATATACTATATATAGTGTGGTTGGGTGCTGTACAAACTTGTGCCGTCCTCACGTGCTCATAAATCTTACACATCAACATAATTGCGTTGACGTGTTCATACTAATTTAAACGTTTTGATATAAGCTGTTGATTTAACTTCACACTCGCCCCCATGTCTTTCTAAGGAGTCGCTGCTCAAATTTCCATTAAGTGATTCAAAAACCGACACGTTTCCTGGTGAAAAACTAAAAAACAAAAAACAAAAAATAAATTTAGCGTGGAATGGATGGGTTTTTTGTTTGTTTAAGCGAATTTATTTCCCTAAATTATATTTTGATTTATTTTATTTATTTATGTTGTACATAGAACATACACATATGTATCAATGCTGTTCACCTGTGTCTGACATGTGTGTGTGTGTGTTTATGACACAACTTTCATCACGTACGAACAGAGCAGATGTGCATACGCCAAAAAGTATGCAACGGCAAAACGTGATTTCGTTTTATATTTCAACTTTGCTGTCAAAGCAGAATTTATTTGCTGAACGCATTCATTTGGAAATTATCAAACCGGAAATTATTGGCTGCCAGAATCCAAGAGTGCACAGCTAGTGCTTCTCTCTCACGTATGTTGCTGCTGTTCTACTTGTAGTTGTTCCTTCTTCGACATAAAAGCAATTCAATTTTTTCGTTATCAATTTGTGCATTTTTGCTTAGCTTGTTACAGAATATACATAACAAATTTGTGTGTACGAGCTTGTATGTAAAGATAGTGTGTTGCTCAGGCGACGTTATTCGACTATGCGTGCAACAAAATGATTTATTTACAATCGGCTAAGCTAACGCCAGTTTATGACTACAGATTTGAATGCCGGATTACGAACCTGAATTCCTTTTAGTGAGGGTAGTATTCGTACATTAAATACAATGTTTGCACTTTGTTTATAAACATATTTTTTAAGAACTTACAATTTATTTATGTACATTTCCAATTTCTTAAATATATATGAAACTGCATCAACACAATGGAATACGCTGTAATAGAGCACATCATCTTGAACCACAACTTTTGATTTGCTTGAAAAAGTCCGCATACCCACAAATTTATTTTGGAACTGCTCGCATAAATCACAAAGTCATTTAGCTATATAAATGAAAGAAAAATATTATTCCAGTACGAAATTTGTGAACCTAGAACTTTAAAATATATAAACATACAAGAGAAATATAAGAGAATTAAAAAATATTGGAGCATATTGGGTATAGTAGAAAGTTGAGTCAAAAAAATACTTTAATGGGTATTAATAAGAATTAATTGGGTGTGATTTTCGAAGATTTTATCTTCTGTCACACGAAAACGCACCTCTCTGAACCATCGGCATTCGGTCAGTTCATGCCGCGGCCACTGCTGATATTGCAGCACCAAATCACACATTAGATCCAGCAAATAAAAGTCTAGGGTGCGTGCCACATGAATAGATAGTCCGAAAGCAATCAAATATGCGGGCGTATCGAAGGAGAATGTGAAGAGCAGCCCCAAATAGGTATTGATAATACTTGTGACCACGTAGTCAAAACGCGAAGCCAACATTTGGAAACTGTAGACCTGGTTAATGCGCAATGAGGTCCGGGTGAGCACGGCGTGTAATGCCCTCAGATGACGCAGATGTTCCACATCCTTACTCGTTGGTTTATTAACTCCCGTACGCTGGCTTAGATCAGTTAACTCGTTGTTGACAAAGTAAAAAGCACGCGCTATATGCCACAAAGCCAGGTAGTAGCCAAAGGTGGTTGTGATAATCAGGTTCAAGGCGTTCATATAAAACAATAAGCCCGGCAGTATCCACCATTTATATTCCATGGCCATAATGACGGCGTGAATCCAATTCGAAATGCACAGGTAAAAAACAGTTGCGAACTTCGCATAGAATAGGTATCCAAAATATCTATCCATGTGTTGGCAATAGACTCGCTGCTTTTTCAGTATTCCCAACCACACCTGTGTGATAACTTCGCCAATTCTCTCCAGTTCACAATCCCGACTGCGGCGGGATATCAACGAATACAATATGGTAGCATAGTTGACCGAGACGAGCACATAAGTGGTTAGCCACATCAAGCGCGTAGAGTCTTTGTTTTTTTCCGAAAAATGCATGTATCCCACTCCAAACCGTATCAATATGGGGAGTACAAATATAGTTAACACATTCATAAACAGTGCATATGAGCTGCTTAATCTCGTTGATCGAAAACTTGAGCCAGCTTTTCTGAGCGCAGTTATGCCAATGATAAAACCATAGTCCAAATAAACCCGGATTATTCGTTCCATAGCTCTATAACAAACTGACCAACCAAAAGCCGCGTTGAGACTGACGGGACCTTTAAGAGTGCATTATGCATTGTACATAAAAACAGAAAATTAATTAGCCAAAGTACTTTTATCATCCATCTTCAAAAACGCCAAGGGGAAGCGGGATACACGCTGAATTCCTATTTAATTGCGGACATACACGTATGTCGCCCAACACAACAAAAATAAGGTAAGCTTTTAAGAAGAGTAATGACGAAAATCTTTATTAGGTCCATATTTCTGTTTCCTGATAACACTACTTGGAAATTTAAAACAGTTCGTTCGTTTGCATTTCGAAAAGTGAGCTACATGTCCAATTTTCTAGTATTATTGTATAAATAGTTCCGATAATTATGTCGAAATTTGTTGATAATTCACCCGTATTTATGTCTATCTATCCAGCTTTTATATCTAAGTATATCTATATGGCGATAGCTAAAAAAAATACGTAATTGAACTGTCGAGCGAATTCTGTTGGGAGTAGTTGATAAAGATTAGTAGTAAAAAGTTTCAGTGAAAAATAATGATCAGAAAGTTTTTATAACTCCACTGCACGATATTTCCTCTTTAATAAGCATCAATTCAATTGTGTATTCAAAAATGTTTACATTTATTTATAAATAAATTTACATTTTAATCCATCACTCAAATGCTTGGTCCATGATAACAACGCTAACCTTTATGACCTTTTCGGTCTTATCATCATTTGAACTAATTTTAATGAGTAATTGTGTCCTCGAAATGATTTCCAAACTACACCTTTTGCATAAAGGCTCTGATTGTAGGCGCCATGCAAGTATTGTCCGTTTAAATTGCTACAAAAAAGAAGTCAAAAAATTAAAGAATTCTGCTAGGAGTTTCGAAGTGTAACAAGTATACCTCGAATGGCACTTGGTATACCACCAAGCTCCTGTGTATAGAACGGCACAGTTCTTCTCGTAGGAATCGTTGTCCTGGTCATGTGTTGTGAAGTTTGCGTTTTTTTGCGGACTTAAAGAGTCGCCCGCATTGCCAGAGTATTTTCCCAAAACATTAAGTGCATAATTCTGATTTTCGCTGCCAATAGCAAAGCCCTCATATTTCGCATGCTTTCGCTCGCCTTCAAAGTCCTCCATGAGAATTAGAAGTTCCTGGGGCAGACCAGCAGTCAAGACATGCAATCTGTCCAAGCCTATAAAATACTCGCCATCCACATGCCCGAATCCATTCTTGTAGTCATTCCAACCACGATAGAAATCAATACTGCCGTCGAGTCGCTTCTGTATGATGGTCCAGGCACCGCCCTGCGTCTCCTCGTCGCAGGCCACCATAAATGGTTGCATGTTATGGCACGGAAAGTGTAACTGATAGATGCCACTGCGACGCGAGTTGGCCGTAGCCTCGGCACAGCTGCTGAAGTACATTTGCGGCTTCGCAACTTGGTCACAGTACTTCTCGACCGGAATATAAATATCACGCTCCTCCATAAGCTCATTAAGTACTTTGCTTTGTCGCTCTTGTTCCAATCTGAAAAGGGCAAACAATTTAATTGGTTGTGCTCGAGCGTTATGTGTTTTATATTCTACCTCAGACGCTGCACAGCTATTCGCATTAGGAAGACTTCACTGCTGACGCTTTCGTTCTGCAGCTGAAAATAAGTTATACATATTATGTAAGTTGGTCTTTGAAGTTGCAATCTCGTACCGTTCCATTGGAGAGCAACGACACATCTTCCAAAGTACCTCCAAGACATTGAAATGGACTATTGTTAAATATTAGCACAGAATATAGTAAAACTGCCGCTCGAAACATTATTGCGAGCTCAATTAGCTTTCGCCCGATCCGCTGAACTTTGAAGACTGAAATGATAACACTCAGCGCACTTTTTTAAAAACAACACATTTAGAATACATATAGTATTCACCTATAGTATATTGTTGTTCGTTATGTCTTTATATGCCCTGCGAGAGTCTCCACAGCTTGGCTATTGCGATTTCTTAAAACGATCAGCTTATAAGTAATATGAATAACTTATTTACAAATTTTACTCCTGCATCATACAAAAGTGTGCAAGACTGAACAAGCGTATCATTTATGATGTTTTCAAAACAACCGGATTATAATTTTATGACATTTGTGGGTACCCCTTGCCATATCTCATCTCACAGGTACCGGCAATTCCCCTCTTAAAGACGACCGAGCTTTACCTGCACTATTAATCAGTATAAAAGGCTTGGCGAAGTGCACTCCACATCACTCACTCACTCGGCACTTCAGCGGGCACATCTCGAACATCTCGTCGGAAATGGAAGGATCTCTAGCGCTCATGCAGCTTGAACCCGGTTGCTTGGTTCTATTCGTGCTTGGAATCACAATTCTCGAATATATGGTTAGACATTGGTCCGAGCTTAGTAATGGAATGTGCATGAGCAAACCAAAAGTAGAATGCACTGATAAAGCTATTTTTCACTCGGCCATAAGTTGTAAGGATGATTGTGGCTCTGTCTGGGAAATTGAAAATATATATACGCCATTTTCACGCTTGCATTTCAAGAACCATATGGAATTACAACAGCGTGCAAGGATAAATTCACGCGTTCGCAGAAGGCTTGATCTACAATTTTAGACTAAAACTTATTTTTAATAATTCATGTACAAAGTTTATAAAAATAAAGTATTCCTTATATCGTATTGAATATTTCTGTATAATTTGTTTTAACAAATCAACCATCAAATGCAATAGGAAGAATTGGATTTAAAACACGGATTATACTGCAGCAATAACATATGTGCTTATTTATTTTCATCAGATGCTTTGGTAATATTTTTCAAACTTCAATATGGAATGCATGTTCATGTTCATATTTTCCGTCAAACAGAATTTATGTATGTGTGTGATTTGAAAAGGAAGCTCATGTCTCTAAATGCATTGATTTAAATGTAAAAAAGTGTACAAATGGAAATGGCAAAATGCAAATTTTAAAAATGTCTACAAGGCTCCACAATCTTCGATAAAGATCTTCTTAGATGTCTTGCCGCTGTTCGACCCATAAGACTCGACTTTCTGCACGATTTCCATGCCTTCCACAACTCTACCAAACACCACGTGTTTGTTGTCCAACCAACTGGTCTTCTCCGTGCAAATAAAGAACTGAGATCCATTGGTATTGGGTCCAGAATTGGCCATTGAAAGCACTCCGGGGCCGGTATGCTTTAAATCAAAGTTCTCGTCAGCAAATTTGTTCCCGTAGATCGAACGTCCGCCAGTGCCGTTTTCATTGGTGAAGTCTCCGCCTTGGCACATGAAGTTCGGAATAATACGGTGAAATGGGCTGCCCTTGTACCCGTAGCCCTTCTCCCCAGTGCACAAGGCACGGAAATTTTCGGCAGTCTTCGGTACAACATCCGTACGCAGTTCCATAACAATGCGCCCAAGCTTTTCCCCGCCGGCCGCAATATCGAAATAAACGCGTGGCAAATTCATGGTTAGCTTTTTTAGAGTTCGACCGAAAGCCAGACTTAATCTGTAAAATATGCAATGTGTTTAACATATTAGGCGTTTACAACTTTTCATATTTACCGGTTATGTCGAATAAAAAATATATTCTAAATTTGTCCAAAGCGCTGGAGAAAACGGCAGCTACTACAACCTTTCAGTTGGAAGTTTCGAGAAGGAATGCTGCCCACAAACGAAAATGATAATCGATAGTAAATGACAGGAAAGTAGAGGACTCTACGATCAGGAATTCATTATATTTTCCTTAGAAGCCCTTGAGTTAATCAAATTCTTAACTTGATTTAAACAATAGTGAGTGTCAGCAATCAAAAAATATGTAAATTATAATCACAAATATGATGCACATTTTTTATAATTGTTATTTGTATTACACCATTTAAAAACTCGTCCCGAAACGGTCTGTGTTGTAAAACACTCGTCGTACCGTGTATTGCCACCCTTCAAAAAGCATTCGATAAAAACCAGAATATGTACATGTGTATCGATACCATCAATATTTTTCGCACGCGGGACTTATCACCATTTTTATGCAAGTAAATAATTTGTTAGCATTTTCAAGATTTTTCCGCTGCATAAAAGCAATGGGAACTTTTGCACAGGTAACTAACCCAATAACGGGACAAAACACGTGGCAAGTGCACGGTGACGAATACGATTATCACCAAGAAGTGGCAAATGCCGGCTTTGGTGACATGTTACACGATTCTGAGCGCAACGAAAAGTACTTTTCGGCGCTAAAAAAGACAATTGCCAAAATGCATAAGGCGGGACGCGAGGTACACGTTTTAGATATTGGTACAGGTACCGGCATTTTGTCTATGATGGCTCTGCAAGCCGGCGCTAATACCGTGACAGCCTGCGAAGCCTTTTTACCGATGGCAAACTGTGCAGAGCGCATATTTGCAGTGAACGGTGTGGCAGACAGGGTGCATTTGATTAAGAAGCGCTCCACAGACATAGCAATAGGCGTGGATATGCCGCGCAAAGCGAATTTGCTTGTAACGGAGATACTGGACACCGAACTAATCGGCGAAGGCGCCATTAGCATATATAACCATGCTCACGAGGAACTTCTGACAGATGATGCGTTGTGTATACCAGCGCGAGCGAATTGCTATGCCCAAGTGGCCCAGTCACCCCTTGCTGCCCAATGGAACACTTTAAAGATACTGGCCAATCTTGATGGGGATGTGCTTCTTCAACCGCCAACGGAGGTGTTGCAGTGCAGTGGCGAGGCCACGTTGCACGACGTACAGTTGTCGCAGTTGCCCACTAATGAATTTCGGCCGGTAACTCAGCCTGTGCAAATATTTCAGTTTGACTTCCAGCGCAAAGAGACACGTGACAAAAAACGAGAGCAGGTAGTGCGCGTAAAGGCCATCCAAGCCGGCGCTGCCGAGTTGGTATTCTACTGGTGGAACATTGAAATGGACGACGACGGCGAAATTTTGCTAAGCTGTGCTCCATACTGGGCGCATCCGGAATTAAAGCAGTTAGGTGCTGACCAAACAGGCCAAAGACCGCTGGCTAATACTGTGCCCTGGCGAGATCATTGGATGCAGGCTATTTACTATATACCAAAGCCGTTGCAATTGTCCACGGCTGGGAAGGAATTCTGGCTAGTCTGCAACCACGATGAGTACTCCCTGTGGTTTGATGCGTACATCGAAGCGCCCCTGAAGCCTGTTCGTCGTCACACATGCACCTGTGACCTGCACATGACCTACTCCCGCAGCCGCATTGGACAGCTGAACCAGGCCAAGCGCAATAAAGCCTACCTGCGCCAACTAGAGCAGACAATAACAAAGGACTCCCACGTGTTGGTTCTTGGTGATGGTTGCCTGCTGGGAATAGCCACTGCTAAGATGGAGGCGGTCAGTGTAATCTGCCATGAACCGCACCGCTTTTCTCGACGTCTGCTCACGTCCATAACAAAGAAAAATCAGCTTAATAATGTTAAGTTCATAGATAGGCTGGAACAGCTTGGAGAGACTGAGTTAAAAGCTCTCACACACATAGTTGCCGAACCTTATTTTCTCAATGCTATACTTCCGTGGGATAACTTTTACTTTGGTACTCTACTACTCAAGATTCAGCAGCAACTCAACCTGTCTGTGGTGATAACACCATGTGTAGCACGCATCTTTGCACTGCCCGTACACTTTCTGGATTTGCATAAGATACGCACTCCTGTCGGAAACTGTGAAGGTTTCGATCTAACATTGTTCGATAAAATGGTTGAGGTATGTATTGAATTCAAAAAAGGCGAAGGTGAAGTTTTGAAAATATTTCATGCCTGTTCATAGCATTCTGTGGAGCTCGCACAGTCAAAGGTAGAAGCTCAACCATTATGGGAATATCCTTCTCGAGCATTGTCTCAACCGCAGGAAATATTGTGTGTTAACTTCAAGGACTTCAGTGCTGAGCAACGGCAGGAAGGCAGCTTCACATTACCAGGGTAAGTGAATTAATACCGTGCAGTTATTATTTATTAAGTTTTTAAAATACTTGTGCATCTTGGAAGAAAGTTACATGGCGTTTAAAAAGGCAGTTACCGCCACAACTGTCGATTAAAACGTCATGGTTTTTCAGGATACAAGAGCATTATATGTAATTGTTTTTTTATTATTATTGTAATTGTTATAGAGTGTAGTGACAAATAAAAACGTTTTCTTCCCAAATCTTGCTTAGATTCTGCAAATATTTCAATAGAACTCGGCATAAGTAATTTAAAAAGATAGCTTCAGCTTTATTGTAATCTAGTATTAAAACAAGCGTGCTTTAAAATAACCAAAAATTGGCTAAAGAAGTTGAGTTATAAAATGTGGTTTTAGTACCAATAACTTAAAAAAGGATATAACTAGTAGGTTTGCATTAAAATGCTCAAATTATGAATTGAATTCTTCTGCAAATTATTTGGTATTTAATTTTGTTAGAGTCCCTGGCATTTAACAAATTTTCAATTAGTAATGTCAACCATAGGCATCGTCTCATATAGAAAGCAAATGTCATAGGAAAAATATAAAATGTCATCGGCTGTAGGTAAATCTATTCAATTAAAGTTAGTTAGTTTTCAGAGATGTGCTCGTCATAATCTCTTTCCTGCCTTAATATAATTAGGATCCTTTGCAATTTCAGGAATAGTGAGCAGTGCAATGGTGTAGCGCTGTGGGTGGACTGGCAGCTGAATGCTAACGACACAAGTGCCAAGTCCACAGTAAGCAGTGGACCTGTCGAACCCATAGAAATTGGAAAGTTCGTCAAATGGGACATGTTTGTGCGCCAGGGCGTGCATTTTACGCGACCAGAAAGTCGCAGTAAACACGTAGATTGGAGCACTGAGTTTAAACCCCTTCTTGGACAACTTAATTTCAATTTTACGCTACGAAACAACATTAAAATCGAATGAATGCCGACGAAAATTCATTTATTCACAAAAATTTTGACATCAACAGTGAAAGTGGAAATGAATGCGCAAAATATTAAAGAACACAATATATCATCGTCTCTGGGCATACACACATCGGCAGAAGTCGTCATTATCATCATCGTGGATATCAAATTATGTTCGTGGAAGTTCATCCTCCATGCGGGTAAGTACAATATTACGATCGGTCTGTTCACTGGGGTTTTTGATCTTCAATCCAAATTCGCCGCCCTTGAGGCGCTGCCGCAAATCCAAAGCACGTATATCGGTCATAAGAGAATGCTGCTTATTTTCCAAATCAACATCAATCTTTTGAGCATGCTCCTCCAGTAGATTATAATTGGCCTTCGCCTGATCAATCTTCTCGACGAGGCGACGTCGAATTTCACGCAGTTTCTCTACTTCCAAGCAGAGCATATCGTGAGCCTGATCCATGCATAGCTCCATACCAGAGCGTTGTGCTCGATTCTCTAAACGTGTCTCGGCCAGTTTCAGAGCATCGGTCTTTCCGCGTAGCGCTTCCTCCAGTGTTTTGATTTCGCAAATGGCCAACTCCATTTCTTCGCTCATCTGCGTGTTAGGATTAGAAATAAAGCCCTTCTAACTCCCACCTTGATCGAGCCCACGTTCTTACCTTTAATTTCTGCCACTCCAGTTCATTACGAGCGCGCTGCGTCTCAAAGATACGCTTACGAATGGTATGTTCCGACCGCTCCATCTGCGAATGGAGCATATTGCGAGCCTTCTCGCGGCACACAAACAATGCCTCACGTATGGCATAAGTATCAGCGAGTTCATTCTCGGCCAACTGCTTCATATTTTTCACATGCTCCAGCCAGGCCTGATAGGAACATGAACTGGAAGGTACATGAATCTTAGTCACCCAGCACAACAACAAAAAATCTTTTTTATTCTCACTTTTTGGGGTTACGAGTTGGATCCGTCTTAAATGTAATGTTAGCCGAGAACTTGTCCAGCACCAGTTGGGATTCATCCAAGTGCACAGCCTCTAGTTTATTTTCAATCTCTAACCCAATCTTAAAACGCACCTCCTCTAGACGAGCCAACTTCTCCCACGCTTTCTGGCAACGATCCGCGAGCAAACGCTGATTATTTTCCAGCACGGCCAACTCGTTCTTGATCTCAGTATCTGCGTCGTCGTAGGTCATTTCAGAACCCAATCGACCATCGCGCATGGTTAAGACTTCGCTTATCACTGAAATGGGACCAGCAAGAGCCTCTAATTCGCGCTCGGTAGCATTCTTTTCCTCCTGAAGCAAATATATCTCTCGTTGTATGCGATCAAATGTCTTGCCAATAATATCGCGCCAACGATTAAGTTCAGAAATGCTGAAAACCAATTAGTGAAATATACTGTTAATATAATTTTCAGGTTTCCACTTACCGATCGGTCAGGGCCTCATTGGTCTCATAATTGGCCCAGTCTCCCTCGATGCGTGTCTCGTTGCGTAGCGTACGTGCGGAATGTCGCAAGGTGAATCCATCCGAGCGACGCGCATCGGCTACGTTCCTCAACTGATTTACGCGTCCATGCCAATCCGCCAGCGACAAATGCTGGAGCGGCTTCTCCATGGTCACAACTGAATGGAATGCCATTGTCCTTCAAGATTCTTCTCAAGAAAATCAACTAATGTAATATTTGTGCATACAAATTTCTAACCTTTTTTGTTTAGAGTTTTATTTAAATACGTTTTTTCCACCGAATTTCCGTTCACAACTGCGTGAAAAGTCTGAGCACATCAATAGAACTCTATGAAATATAAAATTCGCTTACTAAGGGTATTTCGGAGCTATAAATAAATGCTTCTAGGCAACTGGACTGTATGCCTTATAAAGCTGAAAACATGGTTACTTGTTAGGTTCAAAGGGACTCTCTTACGTTGCCATGTCAACCCTAGATTCCTGGCTAAACGCAAGTACATATACGAACTCGAGTTCAGCTGATTATAAAAACAATTTGGATTCTTAGGCAATCTATTTTTCTAAGGTAACAACAAATGCATGTTTTATAAACTTGAAATCATGGTTACTTTTTCCTTTTAAGGGAAGTCTTTTACGTTGCCATGACAACTCTAGTTTCCTACGAACTCGTGTTTCATAGTCAGCTGATTATAAAAACAATTTGAATGATGTCAATTTGTAAGATGTTGAGTTTAAAAATATAATATACAAAATATTATTTGCGGAAGGAAGGCACTAATGATTTGTTTTAATTGTGTATTTTCAGATCTGTGGACTCCATCCTCATAGGGGCCAAGTCAAATAAACAGTAAGTGACAGGGCTGGACTATGCGCAATATAGTTCCCCAGTGGAACCACAGCCTCTATCCAGCCAAGACCGTGGTGCGTCCTGCTCGAGGTGGCCCTGCTAGTGGCTGTCTCTGTGCTTTATTATGGAGGCAGCCACAACAGAACACCACGGATCTAGACTGCGAAGTCGATAAACATCCCCCTAAACCAGGGTGTAAAGCGAACCGTGCCCATTGGTTGGTTTGCAGCCAGGGGTTAGCCGGCTGTATTTTAACGGAGCCCCATCGATACCTGGTCACCTCGGTGTTGGTAATAAAAGACCTTGTCGTGCTACAGGGGGCAATTGCATGATGGACCTCTCGAACCCCCACACTCGTGGGAATCAAAATGAACCAATCTTATAACCAACAAAACTATTATTATTCACAACACCAAAACCAACAACAACAACACTTGCGACAACAACACAACCAGCAACAACAACACCACCAGCAACAACAATTTCAGGGTAACCAAGCCCATTTATATAGTCGACGGGAGCAATCAAACGCCCCTGTAGGAATTTCGCAATTCTGTGAAGAATATCGCAAGATTTATATGAAAGTTCTAGACCTTGGCTATTCACCGGATCATGCACTGCAAAAAGTTTTAGACGTGGCACCTCGTCAAACACATCAAGATATATTGCGATCATTGAGAGGGGAACAAGAAATTGAACCGAATTTCTCGGAACGTAATTTTGATGAGCAGCGTAAGCGAGCTGCCAATTTTGGGGATAGAAATGATGCCAAGAGATGGAGGCCTCCTGAAGCCAGTACTTCACAATCACGCGGTATATGGCAAGAGAGAGGCAATAGGACAACCGGTAATGGAGGAATTGGTGCACATCCAGCCCGAAACCCAATGGAAACTCCAATAAAGCCAGCCATAATCCCTTCATCGAGGGCACCAAAGAAAGCGCGACTCGCAAATCCTGAACGACCTATACCCGAACCTGTTCCACCACCTGCACGAGTACCCTCCCCAGCACGTGTGGATATTACGAAGAAACAACCAGTTGTAGGACCTAGCAAGTTAACTCACATGAGAAAACCCGTAGAAAAAGCTCCACCACCATCCATGAAGCCTAGCCCTGTACGTCCACATGCTCAACAACGCACACATACTGCAGCGGCCAATCCAACTCGCAGACCTCTTCCTGCAGCAGCTTCAAATCCCAAACCACCTCCTGTGACAGGGCCAACTCGCAGACCATTGCCTTCGTCCGCTTCAACTCGAACACTTCTTTCTGTCCCACTAGCGCCAAGCAAACCAACAACAGCTCAAACAAACCAGCCAATTACAGCAAGACCGGGAACTCGCATCGAATCTCAAAGTGATGCCAATGCTAATGAGTTCTTGCCCAAAATGTCGCTCGAGGACCGCATGGCACACATCCAACAGATTCTCACCATGCGAAGTTGGTCCAGCAAACGCAAAAGGCGGCATCGGGCGAACGTGAAGATATTCATGAATATGGGCTTTTCACAAGCAGTTGCCGAGCCGATGGCCGTAGAATTCGGAAGGATAAACTTTAAGATGAAAAGTGATTTCTTAGATGAGATTGGTGTTCCGTCAGCAGCCAGAGAGACAATCAAAGAAAATATTAGCAATGGGCAAGAAGATATCAAAAATGTGGCCATGGCCTTAGAGTCGTATCCCAAAAAAAAATTGTCTACAGCGCAGATGGAACTTATCGAAAATACGCTAGTCGAAGAGCTCTCCAAGGAAGAAAGTTCGACTTTTCTGCGCTTTGATGGAATATTTTACAAGGCCGGCTATATGGTGATAAAATGTATTGGCCGTAGACCCAGGTCCTGGATGTATAGCAAAGTGTCCAAACTGAATGTGGTTATACCGGATGGAAAGCTCAAGATATGGAACGAAGAAAATCTGCCCAAACGATATATCGTTACTTTCATATTACCAAAAGGTGATAAAGTGGATCCAAAGACAACTTTAGCACTTCTTGGTAAACAGAATTTTGGCTTAAATATTGAGGACTGGGATATCTTTGAAAGTGAGAATCAAGGCAATGATAAATGCTTTAAGGTCGGTATCGACGAAAAATCAATGCAGGCAATTGAGGCCAGAAATCTAAAACTGAATTACCGCTTGGAATTGATTGAAATTAAAGTATTAATGAACTCTAATGATCCTAATTGGGATACAATGGAATCTAAATTAACTGAAACTGGAGCAAGCAAGGCAATTTCATCGCAAAATAATGTGGACGGAAACAGTGCGGGGAATAATGATAATTCAGTTCCGTCATCGAAAACAGTCAACATTGCAAAGGGTACCGAAAAAAATCCCTCGACTGCTTCTGTTGGAAAATCGGCGGCTAATACAGCCGCTACTGCGAGTACCCCCGTCACATCGAAGAAACCCGAAAGCATACCCAAAGAGGTTCCGAATTCCGATGCAGCACCCAAAAACAATCTAAACTTGAGTATAGTTAAGATTGAGCCCGTTGATGCCACCTAAGTTTCACCGAAGAAGAAATATCATGCATATATGTATACAGAACACCATGCACCTTATCTGAGATGCTACATATTGGAAAGGTAAGCCAAATTGAATCATTTTAAAGAAACATATTTTAAAAGGTGACACATTCCTTGTAGCGTGATCTGGAACAACCATTGCAGGATGTAGCGTCAATATTCCATTGGGTTCTAAATTTGTATATGCATATAAATAAACTGACTAAACCGAACATTTTGTTTTATTCGTTGAAGTTCTAAGATGCTTTTAAATTCCGTTGCTTCGATTATCGAGCAAATGAAATCGATAAGCCTAGTCCAATGTAATCGAATAACAGCTGATTGTATGCTTGCGATAGTTTTTTATGCGTCAGCTGCCATCACCAGCAGTAGCTGCTGTTTATATTTTATTTTGAGTTGAAATAATTCGAAAACCAGGAAAAAAAGCTTAATAAGTTTGCGGGACACACACCAGTTGTTGTGAACAACTGCCATAGATAGGTGAAGTAGTCAGTGGAAGGGGCGTACCAGTAACAAGAAGGGATTGCAGCTTGAGGGTGCTAGTATTGTCCCCTGTGTAACAATTTTGGTGCAGCACAGCCTGCACGAAGGTGAAGGACGTTGGACCCAAGGACCTCTCAACAATGGCCGCCTGCAACCTGATCAAGGTCAACAGCGAAAATGACGACAACTGTGATGTCACAACGTCCTCGCCCGTCGATAATGCCAACTGCACGGACATCTCTACCACTGCCATCAGCTTAAATGTGTTGCCCGACGAACTGTTGGAGTTCATTTTCACCTATTTACCGCCTTATGGTGATTTGGAACACTGCAGATTAGTGTGTAAGCGCTGGCAACTTATCGTCAAACGTAAGTTCAAAATACTGGATAAATAAATCAATTGCTAACAAAGCCTCAACGCTATGCAGATCTCATACGTCGCTCAAAAATTAATTTGGAAAAGGGGCTAACTGACTTTGGTTTGCGCTGGGAGATATTTTCACTGGAAACAGCTAACGCCGTGCAGGCGAATAAAGCCAATTGTACTCCCGATGGTAATGGTGTAATACCCTATATTGCTGGTCGTTTTGCGCATTCCGCCGTGCGGCATGGCAACTCGATGTATGTGTTCGGTGGCGGATCATCCTCTGATACGACATTCAACGATCTGTGGCGCTTCGACTTGACGCATATGCGCTGGGCGCGTCCACTAGCGACCGGCACGTATCCTTCACCCAAAGGGAGTGCTTCCATGGTGGCTTGGCGCGACCAGTTAGTACTCTTTGGTGGGTGGCGCTATCCCTCCCTGCATCCACCGTACCAACCGTGGTGTCTATTTGATGAACTACACTTTTATGACCTGCCAAAGGATCGCTGGCTTTTGCGCACAACATTGTCATGTCCACCTCCTATGGCGGGGCATTCGGCCACAGTGCACGGCAATCGCATGGTCATCTTTGGCGGCTATCAAATCAAGGATGATGTCAATGTCAACTCCAATGATACCTGGGTACTAGATTTGATAGAACACCGCTGGTGGCAACCACTGTTCGTTGGCAATACACGGCCTAGTCCACGCTATGGTCAAATACAAGTGGAACTGGATGATAAGCACTTGCTGGTTGTAGGAGGTTGTGGCGGCGCCAATCGCGTTTACACCGATGCCTGGCTTCTAGATATGACGCGCGAAGCTTGGTGTTGGAAGGCTGTCACTGTCCGTAATAAGCGTTTCGGTGCCGTGCACATGTGGTGCAACCCAGGCTGCAAGATCAAAAACTTTCTGGTAGTAGTGGGTCCATCACCAAATATGCCGCAGGACTTTCAAATGATGAAGCAGAGCCGCATACCAGTGGGCGGTGGTGGCGTGCGCATTGGTGGCTTGGGTCAACCGCCCCCACTACCGCCACCTCTCCAGCAACGTGCGTTGCTCGCTGAGCGTCGTCCGGGTGGAGGTATACTTGGCGTACCAGCACAACAAAATCGGGCACATAACTTACGTTTTGGGGCAGGCGCCGCACTCGCGCCTCAGGAACAGTATTTGGCCAATAGACGCGCCATACTAAATCAGCATATGCAGCAGGCGCAAAACTTTATGCACAATAATAATATCAACAATAATAATAATAACAACTATCAGCCACGTTCAGGACGCCTCAGTGACTTGCATGCCCCGCCAGCTCCACGGGTGGAGCCTGAACGAAATCAAAATCGGTCGGCACGTCCACATGCTCCAGCAGCCGACGGAAATGTGGATGCAGCACAGCGATTGCAACGTAATCTAGCACTGCGGTGTCGTGACCATGAACCGCTGCTGCCCAAGCGTTTCGACGAACTTTACGAGGTGCGTAGTTAACAATTTGACTGCTTAAAGTTTTACGAGAATTTAGAGATGTTTCACATTCACAACTATTAACATACTGTTTTATATCTTCAGGATCCCTTTCGTATGGCCGCATTTAATGTGCACGCCCGTTCACGCAGCGCCTCACGTGATCACAACGAACGCATACGACGCATGGAAGAAAAGATGAATGCCATACGCGATTCCAGACGAAGCGCTGCAGTTGCACACGTCGAACAGCAAGCGGTACGTGAGCCATCACCAAAGCGTTTGCGATGTAACGTACAGTCCCTATTCGTCTGCGACATTTCACACATAGTGGGCCATAGCAGTGAACCCGCCCTGGAATGGGTCGAGTACAAGAATTTTGGCGTCCTAAGCGGTGCTCCCGATCGTCTCATACTTTCCAGCCTCATTGCCGGCAATGGCGAGCTGATATTGTTTGGAGGCGTGCACAAGGAAACGCTAACGGACATCACCCACCATGTATCTAATTCCATACACTTTCTAAGTGTGCCACGTGATATTATCTAAGTGTAAGCTAGGCGGGACTGGCTGGCTGCATCATATATATAATTACTTAGTCTAGTTGTGAATTACTAAATTACGTAAAGCCAAACAAATTACGCGTTTCAAATTTGCTCCTTTCGTTTGTTCCATGACCCTTAAATAAGTTGAATGCCGTACAGCTTAGCCATTAAATTGTGTGTGTGTGTAAAATAATGAATTACCAATAATAAAAAGTGATTCTTATGAATATGTCGAAACCCTCTAACAAATATCCCCCCTTTTCTTCCCAAAGGCAGACATCGCAACCTTTTGACACATAACAAATGAGGCATCTCGTTTTTTATATGAAATAACTCCGATTGACCATAGTAACAAATTCTTGCATTTTTAAATGCATTTATATTTTCCAAAGATTCATCGAAATCAGACAACTATGTGGATCTATTTTATTCACACGAGTCGGGAGTCTTAAGTTATTTTAGTAGACATTTCTTGTAAATCCTCAATTTCGCTATATACAGGGGTTTTGAGGCAACTCATGAAATTTTACTTGCATACAAATGATATACGTAATGGGAAAAGCTTTACCAACTGAAAAGAAATTCTTTTTTGAAAAGGGAAGACATTTCAGATTGCTTGAGCTCCGATCAAAAATAAATCCACGTTGGTTGATTTTATGTTTTTGGTTGTGCAACTTGAAAATTCGTTTATTGTTTTTAGATTCGTTATTTTAGTTTTTAGAATCAGCTTGGCAATAGTGCTCTTAATCCGAAATATGGCTGGACGTTACATTCCACAAGTGGTTTAGGAACTTACCCCAAAAAATGCCTGTGTAAATCCTAAAAATTCAATTGTCAATTGAACCACCAAATTAAATTTCCTATGTTTTACATTTCAGGTCTGCTTAGAATAGTATCGCGTACACGTTTTGTGTCTATTGTGCGAGTTCTTTAATTTCAATATGCTAAAACATTTTTGAGTACATTTTAGATTGAACAAAATAAATGTAAGTATGTTCTACAATATCCCTGATAAATATTCACTTCACACATTATGCCGTGAAGCTTGTGCATCATTCCAGCCCTTGCTTAAATATTTTAATCAAATCGTAGGCATATTGAAAACGCAAATCGCATAGTTCATCAGCACATAGCACACAATTCAGGAGTATCATGTGCAGATCCTCGTCCGCATCGTGCAGAAGGAAGTCGCTTAAGAGTCGGCAGGCCTGATAGACATTCGCATCGGTTAACTGCCCTGCACAAAAGGCGACTACATCGTAGGTGAAAACATCATCAGAGCCGGGCATCGGGGCATATTTTTCGGCTTCGCGTAATGGCGTCGCTGCATCCACTACTACGATGGTGTCCAAATCAATTACCGTCAGCTCTTGCCTCGTTTCGTCATAGGCAAAGTTGTCGGTGGTAAAATCAGTTATATAAATGCGAAAATTGTCGAACCCAAATGTCATTTTCAGCGCTAGCTCGAGGAGCTGCTGCGCCAGACGATAGCGTAATGCCGGCGCTTCTTGGCCAAATTCACTTAACGTGCGACCGGCATAGGCCTGGAAATAGGTGAGACCGCAGGCTGCATAGATCCGTGGCACAGGCCACTGCAGCGCCCACAGCTCCTGCATGAGTAGCGGGGTGATGTAGTGGGTCATATAGTACCAAATAGTCAGTTCCAAATGTCCACGGTTCCGAAAATATTCGACAAAACGGTGGCTTTCATTTTTGGTGGTATTTTGTCCGCTGCATAATTGAAATTGTCCCGGACGTTGTACTGAGCTTAAGAACTGTGCTCGCAGCAATTCTATGGAGGTTTCTTTTGTTCCTTTGGCTCTCCTGATTTCGACTGTGCTTCGCTTAGCCAGAAGCGTGGCATTGTTAGACTTCAATCTTAGCCAATAGTTGTGACGATAATCAAGGCGCAACGTGATATCCTTAAGCAGTTTATTCAGATCCTCTGGTTCCGCTAATGATTCGTATAAGCCTAAGCAGTTCTCGATTTGCGCGGCAAAGCACTCCCTGCAGTCTCGCAGATCTGATTCCAAATGCTCCTGGAATATGTGACTTTGACGTTTCAAAGTTAATTGCTGCAGCAATGAGAGTATCACCACAATTCTGAGATGAGCAGGGGATAAGTGCATTACACTAAGCTGAAATGAATGAAAATAAATAAATTAGACTCCTCCATCTATGAATATTCTTAATCTTTTCTACAATTGTAACTCAGCCGAAACGTAACGGACGTTAATATCTCGTTATGTTGATAACATATACATAGTACGAATGCACTCGTACTTATCTTACATACACTTGGAAATCTAGAATGTCCATTTTTAAGTCCCTCATAAATCGTATTTGGGCACAAAATTGGTTGTTTGCATTTCAAAGGCCAACATGACCTGATGTATAGGTAAAGATTTCTGCGTCTGTTAGTATGTAACATTATTTTTAAAGCTAACCAGATTAGATATTTCGTACTTATTCGCATTATAAAATAGAATGAGAGTATTAAAGTTTCGATCAGGCCGGACTTCTTTAAATATTCCTTTTCATTTTTTATTTGGCTTCATTTGGAGCTTCTACCTGTACCTGTTTTAAAGCCAAATACACAAAGTGTCTGCCCATCTGCCGGTGGCAGGCAACAAAATGCCGTTCTTGCACACAGGTATAAGAAACTTGACCGGCAACTGAAATAGCTTTGGTCTTGGTCTGCTGATGTTGAGACTTCGACTCAACCGAAGACGGGCTATTTAAAGAGTTCAAGGTTGCAACAGAGCCTCTGCAAAGCTGAGCATTGGCAGTTAGTATAAAAAATCGCTTATTCGCTTTTAATTTGTAATCTTAATGGCTGATAATAAGGACGATTTATGTTTGCGCTAAAGCGAAGAGTTATTAAATGTTACTTTTACGATATTCACCAAGCACCCCATTTGTATTTTTGAAAGTTTTAAGTGAATCCAAATTTGTTTGATTTTTCAATGTCCACATATTGATCCAAAAGCATTTAAATGGGTTGGCTTTGGGACACAATTTCTCGATTTTGCCGCAACATTCTGTGGTATTGCTTTGGTCCCGGAATGTACAAATCGGAACCACCAAAAAGATGCGTCCCTGCTCACGTTAGGTTCAGTCCGAGCACGTTGCGTCGCCAACAGGTTCAGCAACTGGAGAAATTGGCCTCGACCAATCCGTACTTCAACTTTCTGATGTTCTACAATATATATAGAAAACAGATCTGGAACGGGCAGACACTACAAATGAATGGTCTGAACTACTTTGAATTTGCACACTCTGTGCCCGCCGCCTGTGATCTTTGGTCTTGCATGAGCACCAAGAACCGAGCGCCGTATGTGGAGTTGGCGCAGCGTGTGCGGAAAAGGAGCACCAACAATTTTCTCGATAAGCGCGCCTTAAAAAACTTGGGCAACCGTACGCACCTGCAAGCATTTTGTAGGAGAATCCATAATGACAAAATAGTTCAGGACAAGCATACGAGTAGGTCAGCGTTCGGTTTATATGATAGAAATTAATAGTCGTTTAAAATATATTGTGTTCAAAGCCATAGATTTATACAAATTAAAGCTACGTGCTGAAAATAGCCTAAAATTTTAAATTAAAGTAGTTCAATGAGTCAATATATAAAAGATTCAACGAATATACTATGTACATTAAAATAGTTTACATAAATTAGTATACATTTTGTTAAAATAATAGCGCAACGGTTTGTTAGTGACTTTAAACTGTGAATATGATACAAAATACAGGGAAAGAAACGAAAGCGGAATGTTTATTTCGACTCAGATGAATTTTATTAACTTTAAATGCAAGAGCTGTTGGCTAGACATAAACGACATTAGAACCGAAACAAAAGACAGATTCGGTATGAAAATAAAACGTTTCCCCTTTCAACTAAAATATACTTTGTTTTACCAATCAATGCTATGACAGCTTTATGATATACTGAACCGATTTTGATAAAAACTCGGATTATGCTACGGCACTATAAATAATTTAATCAAACAACAATGATTGTGGGCCGTTTGATTTCTATACCAGTCGCAGCTTTATGATATTTATGAAACTTCAAAATATTATGAAGCCTTTACAAAGCTTATAAATACTAAATCGACTTATGTTATATGTATGTTATAAACAAGAAATGTAACCGACTAAGTATAATTTATACACCGATCGATCTTATGTAACAAACTTTGTTTTCATATAGACAAGACAAGACTACTAAAGTGTACGAGAATATCGGCACAAAACTATAGCTTTTTCGGCTTGATTCCATGTTGTAGACTGAAGTTATGACAATTTAAAGCTAGGGAAGCTGAAAAAAAAAATTTGATGGTGGAAGACAAATGCCCGACAAAACTGAATGTAGCGCACAAAAAGCGGGAGAACATGAGCATGAGTTCTGGGCTGAGAGCGGAGAGAGTCGGCGTTGGAAAACGATAGCCTGAGTAACAAAACAAAAACGTTGCTCGCTTGCCTTTGCCGTAATCATCTTGCGAAGATCAGTTGAAGGTGGCGCATTGCGCTCAGCGGTTCGTTCGTTCTATTCTTGCTAAAAGTCTCGAGGTGTTTAGGCTGCGGTCAACATCACCTGCGCAACAATATCGGTCAAGTTCATCACCACATGAAAAAATGCAAAAGGCACAACAGTTTGACATTCCTAATTAAATTAGTGCTGCGAAAACGCATTTGGCCTCAACTTGTAATTGGAATTCGGATTCTCACGACATCGTGTTAAATAATTTGGAACTACTTGTATAATAAACTATACATAAACATAAAAAAAAACTTTTGTCAGGCTGCCAAATTATACTATTATATTATTATTGTGTCCGCGTGTGTGTAAAAAAAGGTGTGATTTGTTCATTTTTTCTGTGTCGGCATGAATTTACAAGAAATTTGTAATAACAAAAATAGAATTTAAATTCGTTTAGAAACACACTATTATCGGTAATACAAATTATACGTACGTATGCGCGTTAAGATTTTGATTCTCAGTCAATAACAAATTTCACAATATTCGCATACAATTTGCGCAGCTATTAATCGCTCAAGTTCCTCGATTACGCAAATTTATTGTAAAAGGTAAATCACTAATGCAATCAAGCAGACTGTTTTAAATTCGTTGGAAGACTGAATAATGTGAGAAATTACTAGCAGAAATGAAACTGGATACCTTTTACAACATTGTTGTATACATTTTGAAATATATACATACATATACACAAATATGTATGTACATACTTTTATAGACTTATACAGACAACACACATACTTGTAATGGGGAAAATAGTGAATAATAGTAGGATGACTTCTTCCGATTTTGCAATAATATTTGCCAAGCAGCTGTTCCCCACAAATGCTGTTGTGTGACCAAATAATTTCGCTAAATATAGTCACACAATTTTGAATCCAAAACGTTTTTATATTCGAAAACAACTAGTTTTAGACAGTAATTTGGCCACCTCAATCAATCTAATATGTATATTGAAGTTTCAAATTTGACCGATTTCTTTAATAATATTATTTTACATATTTGCCAATTTTTAGTACAGTTATCTATTAAGTTGCAAGAATACCACTATCTGAAAAATTGTGTAGACGCTGTGATTATAGCGTAAAAGCCCCTTCGCGCATATACTTTTATTGAACAAATGACGCGCCTGCATAAGGTAGTGTCTACAATCTGATTTCTGTAGAAACATTGTGAAACGGGTTATGAGCCATATTTTTTTTACTACCAGCCTGTGCACAACAAACAATAAGCAAATGTATTAGCAAAACAAATACAAAAGAATAATGAGCATTAGCTTAAGAATGATTAAGCAAAAAAAATTGTTCATATCATCAATGAAGAATTTGTTATTACAGGCGAAGCTAAAAACTAATGAGTACGTACAATCAACATACGTACATACATACATACATATGCATGTGTAAATAGTAACAGGCTTACGTCACTTCTGAAGTATTGCATACAATATTAAAATCTGAAGATAGCAGAGAGTATTGAGGCACCCGACACTTGAGCTGTTATCAGTTGGCATTACTTGAGGAGATTACGTGCTAATTTAAAGCTCACGCGGAAGAATCAATATAAAATGTATGGAGCAGATAAAAAATACGCAAAACGTACTCTGCTTGAGAGCCAATATTGGGTAATGGAATATAATGTATGTATCTATGTACTTATATGTATATAGTATGTACATAAGAGGGTCAGAAGCCGGGTCGAAAGTTTCAACACGTGGCGTCAGACCTAAGCTATCTATAAACTCAATTTCTCTTCATCATACTTAATTTCCATTAATTTGATATTTAAAATAGAGAAAAGCAAATAGTGAATAATTTATAAGCTTCTATCACAAACTGTATGATTGATTGTGATCAATTTACAAACCGGTTTTTATCCCAAACGTGCATAGTATGTAGATTAGGTGACGGAGCGGGGGCTTGGCTGCCAACTAGATGTCTGGTTATTTATTTAACAAAAGCCGGCACCCATTGCTGAGACGCAATTTAATATTCCTTTCGACTTTTGCACACTTTCAGATGAGCGTCATTTCGACATCACAAAAGCAACAGCAGCCACAGATGAAAGCTTTGGAGCTAGTCGCACAACACAAAAAGCAAGCTGAAGTGGGCACTTTGCTCAGTCGGCGTTATGGACAACTCCTGCGATCCGAGAAACACACAGACTGCATCTTTCATATATGTGAGCAGCGGCTCAAGTGCCATAAGCTCATCTTGAGCGCCGCCAGTCCGGTATTCGAGGCCATGTTCTATGGGCCCCTGCAGGAAAACGAACCACAAATTGAAATACATGACATAAGTGCGGAGATCTTTAAAGTACTTATTGAGTACATTTATACTGGGAGTGTGGACTACGAATGTTTGCAGCTTGAGGCGTGCATTGAGTTGTATTATGCGGCGGAAAAGTATTTGCTGGATCAGCTCATTTCCGGCTCACTATTGGCTGTGACGCATAAGCTACGCTTCTGCAACATTCTACCTGCCCTGGAGTTAGGCGTTTGTATGAATTTAGACAGTCTGCTAGACGTTTGCATGACGTTTTTTATGCGCTGCTGTGTGAGCAATGCTCAATACATGAGTTATTTAAAGGAACACTACGTGCACGTGTCCAAGGAGTGCGTGAAGGCGATTATAACGGCATGCAAAGAGCCACATAAACTCCTGCTCTGGTATGTATACGAGTGGACGCAACAGGAATGCATGGAGCTCGGACTGACGCCCAGTGATGCTGATTTGGTTGTGCACGAACTTGAGCTGGGTGCCCCCGCTTGGCAGGCAGCGACAACGAAGGCATTGTCTAGCACAGCAGACAACTCATCATCCACCGCGACCCTCGTTGAGCGCTGCTATTACAAGGCCTGTCGACCCTTTACCGTAGACTCGCAGACTAACATCTGGCGCCTGCGACTGAAGAGCTCTCGTTTCATTTCCATGTTAGGTCTAGTGCTTCATAGTCGGCTCACACCAAATCTAAATTGTACCATTTCCCATGGTCCGCGACAACAGTTATTGGAGTACAGAGAGTCGCTGCGCATCGACGTTTATGAGCTACCATCTGGTGGAAATGCAGTTAACGTGGATAATGTGGTTTGGACACATGTGGTGCAGAGCCAAACAACAAAATACAATTGTGATTTGCATCTCAGCTGGACAAGGGAGCAGGACTGCGTCCTAGCTCCCGATGTGATATACGAATTGCGGCTGCGCTGGGACAGTAACGCCTTTGGAGCAGAGTACCCATGTAGCCTGCAGTCTTCTAAGATCGACGGTATTCAATTCATTGACGACGGCGACAGCTTTAGCGGTAGTTTGGTGAAGGGATTACGTTATGTAAATTTAGTTTAGTATAGGATAGTCGTCTTCTAATATAAATGTATTAGTATTAACTGTGTATTTATTGTTTAAAATTACAAACACTGATGGAGAGTTCAATAAACTGTGAGATTTAATTCCAGAGATAAGCGAAAAAGCCGGTTTGTTTTGTCTGGTTGTCAGCTTTGATTTGTTGTGTCGCTCAGCTGGATTGCAAAAACAAACATTTGCTCTGATTTGTTTGGGGTACACTCACCGTCATAAAATAATAAACACAAACGGTGACGAAAATTATAGTGTATGAAATTGTCCAAATATTACGAAAAGCGAACTGAAAGCAAAAGTTTTCGTGTAATTTAAGAGGGGAACTAGAGCCTGCGCAACAGTCTGGCAGCGCTATTCACTCTGGCGGCATTTTTGTGTCTGGTTGCGATTTTGTACCCATTTACCATCGAAAAGTTTGAAAGACTTATGATATTGTAAAATTATCCCGTTTATTAAATGACTTAATTATTACTAAATTTGAAACGGGGAGGCAATTTCGGATAAAAGTACGACAATAGATAAGTGGCAGTACTTTTAGTATATTTCAGTCTTCTGGCATTGCCCAAAATGTCATGGTCACACTAAAGGGCGTTAATGCGCATAATATAAGAAGAAGACCTAGAAATTTGTTTACTGCTGAAGGAGCCGGAAAAATGACTATTTTATATAAAGTTGAAAGCAAAGATTTCAGCAAGGACAGTGTTTTCCCCCATAAAGTGGTACTCTGTGCAATTTCGGCCAAAAACATCATCGCCTTCAGTGCCTTAGAAAGTGTTACCGTACCGGGTGAAGGCGTTGCAGGAGGTGTTGCAGCTTGCAACAGTCACATCTATGTTTGCGACATCGTCACACCGTGGCAGTATTACAAAGTTTGCTCGGCCAAGGCATTAATCAATGTACTGGAGTGGCGGTCGAATGGCGAAGAGCTGCTCCTCGGGTATATTGGTGGGCGCGTTGAAATTTGGCAACCCAAGGAGAATGTCCTTAATGTGTGGCAACTACAGTATGTTGTTGACATACCCAGCGAGGACATTATACAGGCCAAGTTCTTCTACAATGGCAAGGGCATCGTTTTTAATGCCCAGAAAAAAGATGTCACCTACTATACCGAGAAGTTTGAGCGGCTAGAACAGCGCCCCACGCTGACGGGTTTTGGTGGCGTAGCGAAAGAAGGCTGTATTGTGGTTACAGCCTCGGGCTTGTTAGCTGCATTTCTGTTACCAATGCTGCAAAAGAATACGCCTGGAACGGAGTCTGCCACCACCGAGGTAACTAAATTGACACCGTCCATTCATAGCATTGGAATAGCGCGTAGCTACATCACACATTGCAGCCTGCTACCTAGTGCCAGTGGTGCACTCAACGTTGCTATTAGCTGTGGTTGGCAGGAACAGCTGGTGAATTGTTTCAAGGTGTCTTTGAAACTGGACAGCGATTACGGCGTCGAGCCTTGCATTAGCATTAAATCCGAGTCGCAGGCGAGCATATTTCTCAATCCACTAGAAGGCAAGCACATTACGCAACTCAAATGGATCCGGGTAGCTGGTGACGATGTTATCTGCATAGTGTATGCCTGTGTCGATGGCGGCAGCATTCTAGAGCAGTGGGCACTCACACGACGACATCACAATGTCCATGCCCTATTGCAACAGCAGCAGCAGCAACAACAACAGCAGTCGAGCAACAACAATGTGCAATCCGAAAGTTGGGAGCAGGCGGCCAAGGTACATTTTCCAGTGGCTATTAGCGATGTGTGTATTACACGTATGTCCATGGCAACAGCGGACTGTGTCCAAATCTATGCCATTATGAAGGACAACAGTGTGCATGTGCTAGAGTCTGGTACACTGAAAAAACTCAATCACACGCAATTTGATCGTTTTGCTGACGCTGCAGGGGTAAAATTCGTTTGTGGTGATCTAACACCCACAAGTCAGATGCTTTTAATCTTCGATAGCAAAGCCCAGCTGTATGCCATGCAGACACCACTGTTAAAGCATCAGGGCAGCGGAGCTTTGTTGCTCATGCTTTTAGAGTACTGCATCATTACGGGCGTCGATTGCAGCGATGTGTTGCTGCTCAATCTTAACAATCTGGAGGCTCTGGTGGATAAGTTATCGGATAACTTTACACGACAGCCATCTTATGCCCGGCACTATTATTACTCAAATTTTCTTGCGCTTAAAAGCAATTTGTGTCGCGTCCAGCAGCAGGAGTTTGATAATCTTATAATTCTGCATGCAATTTCCACCACTTTTAAAAGTCTCTTGCGTCCTTCGGATCTTGGCTGTCAGGACAAGGGACCTGCCGATAATTTGGCCATGAAATTGGCTGAGTCTATACCAGATGTGGACACCGTTATGTTAAATCTGGATGCCAAGGATTTTACTGTCGAGCCCATGATGCTGCAGAGTTTGCAGCAACTGATTCAGTGGGTCACAGATTTGGCACTTAATATGCTTAATCGGCTGCCTGAGGAGGTGATGAAATCTAAATTAACCGGCAAGCGCCCCAGCTATGATATCAGTCGCGACATTGTAGCCATCAGTAGTCTGCGTGAGCTTTTGGTCATGATTCGAATCTGGGGACTGCTGAACACACAATGCCTTCCCGTCTATACAAAGACCATGGATAATATTGATGTACTTGTGATTCTGTTTCGTCTCCTCACGCGTCTCGCTCAAAATCCATCGGAGCCCGACGAAATGCTGCTTGACGAGTGCAGCGTTTTGTCCAAGCAGGTTCTAATACCACAAATGTCCAAATACAATCCGACTACGCTTCTGAGTTCGCAAGGTTATGCGGCGGTCAAGTCAGGACAGTTAATGTTTACTTCACTGGTGGAACCGGCCAATCTGCAAGAGGTGGAGATGGAAGAGGTCGTCTTCGCCAATTGCATCAAGGATGGCGTAAGCAACCTACAGCTGGGTGCGCATCCCTCCACCATCAGGCGCTGTTCCCGCTGTGGGTTTGTTAACAGTGCCAGCAAGGTAGCCAAAACATCAGCATTAAAGGCGTGGTATAATAAATGGCTCTATTGCCATTGCGGCGGATTTTGGAAACAATGCAATTAGATTACCAATTAAGTTTGAAATAAACACTGGCATTAGGCAGCTCACATAAACTGTATTTTTTACTAGAATTAGCAATAGAAAATATATGTACATACATACATATGTATATGTTCAAAATTTATTGTCATCAATATTATAAAGCAAACTTTGCAGAAGGTATGTAAATAATTCCATGAGAGACGAAACTCAAATTGGGGCAATGCCTAATAAAAATGGTTGCTTAAATTATTTAGTGTCAGTTTGGATTATCTTTGGATATTTTCATTACATGGAAACTTTATAAAGGAAAGGAAAACAAGCTTCCAAAAACGTTATCGAATTTTTTTTCTTGATGATTTTGGAACCTTGAACAATCTTTGTATTGGAGATTAACTATTCTTTAAAATGCGCGCTCATCGTCATTGAACATTCACTCATAAAAACCTAATCCTAAATTTCAAATACAGCGTAATGCACTTAAAGCTTTCTCTTAGGTTGAAAAATTAGTATTTTATTTTGTGCTAAATTGTTCGTTGGAACTTTTATTTTGCAGCTTCAGTATAATGAGAGTGGTGGAAGAGAGAGAGAGAGAGAAAAAATAAAGCTTAGATTGACAGTCTCATTTTTGTTTGATTCTTAACCTTTTGCCATTCACCACGAACTGACTATTGATAAATACAAACAACAAATTTGAGTCTGACGAATATTTCGATTTAAAATTAATTTCGCAAAGAAAACGTTACTCAATAAAATTAAAATCAAACATGAATATAAATTTACCGAATTTTAATATGAAAAACTTGGTCAGGGAGGCGGGCAGCACAATATCGCGTGTCGTGCAGGTGTGAAAGACGAAAAAACCAAATCAATGATGAGAAAAAATTGGGCTTGGGGCGTGGGTGGGTGGTGGCGGTCCTCCCACCCAACACTCAGGCACGCACATTTCGAAAACGAAGACTGCTAAATTTACCCTTGCCCTTTTCACAGCTAACAGAGGAAAAACTGGGCACCACTGAACGCACAGAATACGATTTGCATTTTCAAAATCTAGCGGAACGTGCCGATGTCACCAAATCATGGACCGAGAAAATCGTGCGCGACACCGAATCGGTGCTCATACCGAATCCACAGAATCGCGTCGAGGACTACATATTTGAAAAAATCGAAAAATCCAGACCAAAACGGTTAAGCAATTTGGAGCACTTGGCCCTGGACATGATTGAGGCGGGCGGTGATTTTGGTCAGGACTTGCCTTACGGACAGGCTCTGATCAAGGTCGGGCAGGCCGAACAGAAACTGGGCCAGTGTGAGCACGATTTCATAGCCACCTCGGGTATTTGCTTTACCCAGCCATTGCGTAAATTTCTGGATGGTGAGATGAAAACCATTACCAAGGAACGTGGCATATTAGAGACAAAGCGGTATGTATCCTACCGTTCCCTAAGCTTGAAGTGATTTATATGTATTATTGTAATTTTTTACAGCTTGGACTTAGATGCATGCAAGAATCGTGTCAAGAAAGCACGCAGCATGCTGGGACAGCAGTCGGTGAGTGTGCGTGTGTGTGTGTGTACTTGTGGGTATACATAGGTCCTTTTTACTTGCTACATTCTCATTATGGATTTTTGCCTTTACTCTTTCACTTTGTGCTGCTCTTACGGAATTTGTATATGTGTGGGTATTGATTTGCGATTTATAGAAAGATGGCATCTCGCCAGAGGCTGCCTTGGAACAGGTATCGCAATTTCGTTGCCCCACCACCCGTCATGGCCTCATTCTATGTTATAGTTGACAATCTAATTGATTTCCTTTTTTGCTTCTACAGGCAGAGCGTGACTTGCGAGTGGCACAAGCGGAATTCGATCGGCAGTCGGAAATAACGAAACTACTGCTGGATGGGATAAGCACATCACAGGCATCACATTTACGTCATCTGCACGCATTCATACAGACACAGGTGCGGTACTATAAACAATGCACAGATGTCATGGATCAACTACAACGCGAGCTGGCCAAGTGAGTATCCCATTATAAAATTGTATCTGTATGTGTGTATATGTATTTTCTTACGTCTCAACTAAGCTCAGTAAACTAAGCGGCACACTATATTTTGTACTTAATAACATTTATTATGATTATGTAGCTTGCACTTTGCCACTTGTCATTTGTTCTTGTTAGTAACAAAGCGCTGTCGTCTGTGACACGAGCATTGTGTCTTGTTGTTATGTTTATGTTTCGGTTTGTATTTGGTCTTACAGAATGGGACCCGCAAAGCCACGCCTGCGCATCAATAGCGAAGATGTTGATGGGCCTCCCAGCGCAATGCAGTCATGCGATTCTGAAACGAATTCTATTGTAGAATTAGATAGCGCGCACGTAGAGCTCGATCTCGATGATGATGGATCAGCACAATTTAGCGCTATTGATATGGGTCAGGCAAAAGCATTGACGCACCTTTTAGAAGACTTTGACATAGATTTCGATACAAGCGCCATAACAACCGTTTAAAAAACACGTCCAAACACATGGAAGCAGCAATCAAAGAACACTGTCGAAGATATCTAACCAAAAATCAAAATGAGTGAATTTGTTTATTAACTCTTACTATTGTTCTATACGTAATTAATTTAAGCGTCATTAGCATAGGTTTTAAACGTTGTTACACTTGTTGTTGATGTTCTTCCTAGTATGGTTTTGTGCCGGTTTCTAGTGCAAGTCAATTTTCCAACCTTCTTCGTCCCTAGTTGCACGCACTCGCAAGCAAAAAAAAGAAAACAAACCAAAAATTATTTGCTTAAAGTCTGAAATACCATTTAAACTATACGTTTTTTATCAGCTTGGGAGGCCCAACACCATATGTACCGCTTGAGCTGCACGATGGCATTGCATCCAAAACAAATGCATCCGGCAGTGGTGGCGGCGCCAATCGCGGCGGTGGCAGTGGCAACAATACCGGCATGGGTGGCCACAGGCTCAATCAACCCATGCATGTAAACACAGATCAAATGCAACGCGCACGCGTCCTGTGCTCCTACGATGCTAAGGACCACACCGAGCTCAATCTCAATGCAAACGAGGTAATTTTTTCTCGGTTAAGCATGAAATGGATCATCCCATATCAAGAAATCTAAATACTACCTGTGTATCCTATTTGCTTTTCAGGTCATTTTTGTCACCGAATGTTCACCCGTTAGCGAGGATTATATGTATGGCAAGCAGGGTCTAATGAAGGGTCTTGTGCCGCGCGCTTTTCTCGAAATGCTCGACGATGAGAAAGATGACGAACGCGACCGTCCTGCTAATATTGCTGCGTTCTAAGCGCTAAGCACTTGGCGAAACGTACAATAATCTCAATTGAAGCAACCAAAAAGACAGAAGTAAACGCAATTACATACTCCAATAAACATACCCTCACTATATGATGATAATACTCATGATGATTAAGAAAGGCAAATGAACAATTATGACATAAAATGGCTTGCCAAAGGCATAAAAACTTGGCAACCAGCAAGAGAGTACAATAATTTATCAAAATATACATACATATATACTGCATATATCTAATGCAATGTAGGAGACGCATTGACAGCGTCACAAGTTATATAGTTCAGAAATGTTGTAAGTAGAGAACGTACACACATACATACATACATATGTATGTGTGTATGCAGTTGCCAAGCGCGGACTCCTCTCATTAGTGTGTTGACGATGTTAGCGCCGGTGCGATATTCACAAAGCCATCAAACCGATAACAAAAAATAAAAAATATAACATTCCAATCAGATAGTTAGCCTAGCATACATTTGTACATACTTTTATGCCAAGAACCTGATTTATATTCAGTATGGTAAAAAAAGGAGCTTTGCATGAGCATACCAATAGGCATTAATAAAATTTAATTCACAAAAAGGCTTTGCGAAACCTATTACAATCGAATGAGAAGAGATTACATCCAGCAACAAAATAAGTTAACAAGAATACATACTTTAATTCTTAAATTGCGCATTTAACCGCCCTGTTCTTAACCATTCACAGTTTTCAACTTTATTATATATCTCCTATGTGCAATAAGTATTATGCAAGTCTTTGAATTATAAATTCTAATACTTATTGTTGTTAAATCAAAACCTAATTGAAATGCATATGCAATTGAAATGTGCTAGTATCGAAATATTTAGTCAATTTTAAAGATCTTAATTATAAAATTAATGCCAAAATTCGCTGGCGATGTTTACCTTTTTCAAAACCGAAACTATTCACACTGAGGAGCTAAAGGTTTTAAAAACAAATTACTTGTTTAATTTTTTCTACGAAAGCCCGAATCTTGTACGTATTTTTAACTATATGTGTGTTTACCATTTAACTTTGTGTGTTAAAAAAACTAATTAATACCTAAATTCAATTTCCTAGATATAAATATATATACACACATATATACAAATCGTGCTCCTAAAACTAAATACTGTTCATATAAAGTTAAATTATTTTTAATCAACAATATCAACACGTATATTTCAATAGAAACCAATTTAAATAATTAATTTAAACTTATTGATCAATGCTAAAACTACAAGTATGTATATGTAAAAATTTCGATCAAGCTTTTGATTCTCTCGAAAATGAATTTTCAATTTATTTATTTACAATTACATTTAAATAAAATTACTGTGCTTTAATTTAGCTATACATACATGTATACATATACTCTTATATAAATGAAAATTGTTGAATATGTATTATTAAACTATTTCAAATTCTATGTAATTATTGGTTTTGTTTAGAAATAATTTTTGACTTCAATTCTATGTCTTATTAAAACACTTAGCGCGGTTTCCCGGCGCAGTAAAAGGTCAATTAAGTAAAATGAAGAGACCCGACACCAAAAGACGCTTAACACATGATATCACTAAGATAACAATACAGACAAATTGGATAAATAAACAACGATATTTGGGTTTTCAAATAAAATGCTTATGCATGTTAGACGCATCATAAAAATCGTCTTGTGGATTTTAAAATATAATCATTCTATGTAAAAGAAATGTATTGCAGAAATAATAAAAATGAAAGAGTTTATAACACACAGATGTTCTTTGAATTTCGAACATTTTATTAAAATTTATATTAAATATATACGTATGTATATATGTATAATTTGTAGGTAGTATAATCTCTATATATATACGGACTGATCCTATCATAGTGTAGGTGTGCACTAAGAAATTGGTTTTGGAAAATTCAGACTAATGGGGGAAAACGAGCTCCAACGATTGTTTGAAAAATCCACATTTTTCAACGATCATCTTAACTCATTTGATTTATAAAATACAAGAAGAACTGCATACTCAGTTTTTTGAAACTTTTCTTGGATCTTGAATTAATGGGGTTTTAATATTTCTTCACTTTTTTTTAAATGAAAAGTTTGTTTTATAAATTTCATCCGATCGATTTCGTTATAATTTTTTAGAAATGTCACAATTTAATTCTCGATTTACCAGCGCTTAGTTATATGGTATGAGAAACGCAGAGGAGGGCGCCCATAATATTTTTATTGCATTTTTCTGAAATTTCACAATTTAACTCCACAATATAATTATTTGCGACAATATTTTATTTACTTTTTCAGAAATTTCACATTTTAATTTCACAAATTTATTATTTAATTTTTTTAGAAATTTCACAATTTAATTCTCGATTTGCGAGCGTTTAGGTACTTGGTATGAGAATCGCAGAGGAGGGCGCCCACAATATTTTTATTTAATTATTATTATTACAGAAATTTCACAAAAAATTCCACAATATTATTATTTGCCACAATATTATTATTTAATATTTTAGAAATCTCGCAATTTAATTCTCGATTTACCAGCGTTTAGGTACTTGGTATGAGAATCGCAGAGGAGGGCGCCCACAATATTTTTATTTAATTTATCAGAAATTTCACAATTTAATTTTAAAATATTATATTTTTATTTTTCAAAAATCTACATTTATACATAGAATATACATACATATGTAACTATGTACGTGTATGGTCGCAGTATGTATTATACTATACGCTCTAGCTTTCGTACCAAAGTAATTTGCTATTGGCCGTTCCTTAAGAAACTTTAAAGACTGCCGGAAGAGAAATAGCATGTAAATAAAGCTATAATTAAAAGCAAAAATACTGAGCTAGTATAGTAATATATATTCAAATTTTTTGTTTTGTCAACAAAGCAAAATAAAAACCTAATTCTGATACTTTAAGTATCAAATAACTTGTCCCTCTTGACTGATAATCCTTTTTCGATTCGAGTCAATTTTGCATGCCAATAAAGAATCTAATGGCCCGGCGATTTCACTCTTTATGATGAAAAACGGATGAATCAGTCAGTAGAAAATAACATTAAGGCCATGTATGTACTCTTTCTCGAAGTTCTGACTTCAGAAATGTGAGTTGGTTCAAATAAGCTGCGAGTCACTGTTAACTCCCGTTACTCCTATATGTACATATATAGTAATTTAAATATATACATACATATATGGTTCCTCTTCCAAAGGCAGTGTACTTGATTCATTCTCTTATTATATTTGTGATACTTGTATTGTTTCATTATCAATGTTGATTCTCTTTACGACAGCCTTATCTCTATTTGTATGTCCACAAGTATTAAGGTTTTACAAGCGATTTTAGATGCGAGAGTGAAATCACGAACATTTTAGCTCAGCTATAGTGCTATACAAGTATTTCACTAAAATGGACGCCAGCGGCTGGGAGTCCAATGTGGAGCTTCAATATTTTCGCGAGTATCTGCAGATACCTAGCATGCATCCTAATCCCAACTACGGTAAGTGTCGTACTAGACTTGAGGTACGCTACTTACTAACTGCCCCGCCCAGAGCCCTGTCTAAAGTTCTTGCAGCGTCAAGCAGAACAATTGGAGCTACCCATGACGGTGCATTACCCGGTTAATGAGCAGAATCCAGTGGCCGTGCTAACCTGGCTGGGAGAGAACCCACAATTGCCCTCAATATTGCTTAATTCGCATATGGATGTGGTGCCCGTATTTCCGGAGAAATGGACACACCCGCCGTTTGGCGCTGACATTGATACGGAAGGTCGTATTTTTGCGAGAGGTGCTCAGGATATGAAATGCGTGGGGATGCAATATCTGGCAGCCATAAGGGAACTAAAGAGCAGTGGTGTCAAGCTTAAGCGTACCATTCATATCTCATTTGTGGCAGGTGAGTGCATTTTGTAGAAAATAATCTACTTGGTACAATTTTTTAAAGTTTTTGTTGTTCTGGGACGCCCCTGAAATCATTCACGGCGGTGTTTAGCCTTTAACAATCATGCACGAACACGTTCTAATAAAACTATATTTAGATCCCATATTAAGAGTATTTGTAATTGTTCTTTAATATTTGATTTTGATTAAACTGAATCAAAATTGAATTATTTACTATTATCAATCTAGACAAAATCTGGATTAGGAACGTCCATTTACTATCATCAGATATTCAAAATAAAAATGTAACATTTAATAATATGACACTATTTATATTTATCGGACATTTGGCATACTTTATTATGTTATTGCTTCAAAGACAATAACACCTTAGCTTAACATTATTTTGATTAAAGAAGTAGGAAAGCAGTCTGAGTTGGTCTTAGGTTCGATTAGAGTCTCTCAATGCTATGGCTAGGACTCACATACGCCATAAGTCGTTGTGTAGCCGTCATATATGCGTACCTCTACTAAGAGAGGCAGACTAGCATATCAAGATTGTAAGCTGGTGCATTATAGAAATAAAAAGTTTTAAAAGATATCAAAAATAATGAAAATAAGCCTTTCATTTATTCGTTAGACGAAGAACTAGGCGGCAACCTCGGCATGCGCCCATTTGTTACCACCGATCATTTTCGCGCCTTGAATGTCGGCTTTGGATTGGATGAGGGTCTGGCCTCACCAACCGCAGAATTTTCCGTATTCAACGCGGAGCGTAGTGTATGGCGTAAGTTGCAATTTTCCAACTTCTTGTCATTTTATCAATGCACATTGAATTCTTTTCAGAAATTCACTTCAAGATCAGCGGCACTGCCGGGCACGGATCCCTACTATTACCGAAGACGGCCGGTGAGAAGTTAAGCTATATACTCGATAAAATGATGGCGCTTCGAAAGGTTCAGGAGGCACGTCTCCAGAGTAATCCCAAACTGACCATTGGGGATGTGACGACCATTAATTTGACACGCATTGGCGGGGGCGTGCAAAGCAATGTTGTGCCCCCCTTGTTAACGATTTGCTTTGACGTTCGTCTGGCTCTAGATGTTGATCACCAGCAGTTTAAGGCTGATGTAAAGAGGTGCTTTACATTTTTTTCGAATCCATTAAAATTGCGCATTATTCCTAGTTACACAGATGGATGATGGAGGCTGGCGGTGGCATTGAATTGGAGTACGAACATAAGGAGCCATATGTACCGGCGACTCCTGTCGATGACAGCAATCCATTTTGGTTGGCCTTCAAGAGGGCAACAGACGTTCTGTGAGTTGAAAGCCTAACCTAATGGATCATCCCCGTGTAGTGATTGTTTGTTTTTATTCACAGAGAACTCGTCGTAAAACTGCAAACCTTTTCTGGTGGCACTGATAGTTGGTTTCTTCGGCAGTTGGGCATTCCAGCATTGGGCTTCTCGCCCATGAACAATACGCCCATTTTACTGCATGACCATGATGAATTCCTGCAGGCCGATACATATCTAAGAGGCATAGAAATATACAAGAAGATTATAGCCAGTTTGGCGAGTGTTTGAATTACATTTTTCAAAATATGTTAAATTTAAGAAATATATTTCTTGGTATTGAATTGATTAGATAATTTTTACAGAGTCTCAGGTCATTTTATTTGCAAAAAATCTACTATATCCTCGATACCCATGTTATATATCAAATATTACATAACTTGTATAATGATTAATAAATTGTTTATAAGCAAGTATGTATAAAGGAACAGTTGTCATTAGTTTTTTTCCACCGGATTTATGCAAGTTGTTTCCATCCAAACTCCTCTATCAGACTAGCTTCTTTTAAATCCAGCTAAAGAAGCATACAAATATTTTGTTAATTAGCTTTTCATTTTAATTTCGTCAAATAATCGTTTTGGAAAATTTTACAAAAAAATAATTATATTTACAGAAAACCTAGCACGTTTTTACAAAAAATATGTTTAATTACACCTGAATGTATTTACAAAATATACACAATTTATTATTAAATTATGGTTATACCCTGCCTTTAATAAGAGTAACGTTTTCTAGTTTTTGTAAGCATGATTTGCTACTACAAAGTCTTTTCCTATTTGACAAAATTATTAATAAATTAAAATTTATTTACATTAAATTAATGTTTAACTAGCCATACAATAGTTGAAGCTGCCAGCAGCTTTAGCATGAATAAATAATAATAAAGAAATAACTAAGATGCCTTGTAATTTGTATTCTTCAAGCGTTGAAACGCTATCGTTTTGCCCGCGGTCACGACAGTATCCAGGAGTGTATAATACCTGAGAAGAGTAGGGAGGCAAAGGTGGTTAGAAAAGTGCACCACTTTCATATTTATGCAAAACTCACGATTCTCTCCCGGCGACAGCGTTATATGAATATCCTCACGACTGAGTAGGGGAGCTGAAAATATACATGTGTATATTGTTGAATAATAACTGGAGTATGCGCATCTTTTTTGAGCAAAAGGAAATGCAATGAAGTTTGGTTTTTAAGTTTTAATTGGTACTTTATTATTCAAAAGGTAAACGTTGCTTTTGCGTTAGTCAAACTAAGTATTTATAAAAACACAAAATGAGGCATGACTAACCTTACATTATGTTGTTAATAATTTAATAAGCTAAATGTTTTGTAAATGTGACAAGCAACAAATGTAGCTGTGTGTGATTTATTTTTTGTTTCAGTGTATTTCAATACTTTTTATAATTGAGCAACAGAAGTGCTGCGTTGTTATTATATTTTCAGCAGCGCTTTTAAATTACATAAATATATTTGTTTTTAGTTTATAACTAATTTATTTGCTATCACAGTCCCAAAGTTGCTAACATGCATGCTAACAATTATAAATCATAAAATAAAGCTATGCTTAAAAGATATAAATTGAACTCGCATTCTTGAGCTGGAATGGATTTAGTGGGTGGTTAGAGCCAAAAAAAAAAAAACGAAGCAAGCAATTCTGAAGTTGTGATAGACATGAAGACGATGTCAATTTCCAACAGCAGGGGATCACAAAATCACAAAAAAAAAAACAGGGTATATACTACATATTGAATTTGAATTTCCCCGCTCAGCATATTATATTTAAGGGAATTATTTGCCGTTTCCCATTATGTCGTGGAATCAAGTGGATGGAAATTCTAATTATTGGTTAAGCTGCAACATTAACTTGAACAATGTATGGCCGATTCATAATGTTATTAGCCATGCATGCTAGCCAACCTTGCACACCTAATTAACAGTGCAATCTACATTGTTAAATTTTAAACATAAACAGATCATACAAATTGCATACGATTGCACAAAATATATATGCAAAAACAATACAAAGCAATTAGGCTTATTGCAATTAACAAAATATTAAGAACACTCAACGCGTCACGTATGCAAAGCATATTGCTGCTGCAATTGTGGGGTTAGGTTAGCATCGCTCTCAAGGCCAGGAGCACCACTTGTGGTGCTATTGACGCTGCTGCCGCTTGCACTCGGCACAATTCGGATCGTACCCGGCTTGATTCTAATGTTTTCACAGGCTTCGCACATGTTCAGTTGCGGATGATTGCGGAATGTACACATGTTGCAGGCCCACATGTCGAGTGGTTCCTCGCCCTCATCAACATCCGATTCGGACAAATATTCTTCATCATCGTTGGGGGTATAAACTGAAGGTGCTGCTTCTTGCTCGCGCTGCTCCTGTAGTGACTGATAGTACTGTTCGTAGGTGGGCGGAGGCTGCTCGTGTTGCTGCTGGTGAGGCGTAATGCACGCTGATGCTGGTGCACTGCTGTGATTCTGCACAAAGTCGAACTGGGACGGTTGCCGCTGCTGATTTCCCGACGACGCCCCTGGTGTTGGGAGCGAATTCAAGGATGGGGGATATGGCGGTGCACGTTGCCTCCGGAATGGCTGTGGCGGATTTTGTTGTGGCATGCCACCTATCGCTGGAGGTGCTGAGTTTTGACGATTCATGGAATTTGTCGCTTCACCAGAGCCATTTATATTAGTATCTAATCGAAAAAAGGTATACGGGTTATAATAGTATGAGGATCACATAATCTTTAAGTAATCACTTACCATTTATTAAATTTAGGAGGTACTGACAATCATCCTTCAATTTCTTGATATCTTTATCCAGTCTTTCAGATGCGCCCACAGGCACCGGCTCAGTAAGTATGTTGATTTCCTGTTCCAATTCGGAAAGTCTCTTTTTATTATCACGCAAAGCATTTGCCAGCTTATCGCGTCGCTTTTTCTGACGCTCTATAGTGGCCCTGTGTGCTGGAAATAATAGAAACAGATAATGATTAGATTGTTTTTAATTTTTATCAAATTGATTAGCAATTCAGCTTAGTTTGCTGTGGCTCCCTCCTAGCAACAATTTGTTTGCACGCGCAAATACACACATTTACTTTACTGTTTTGCTTTCGTTAATTACACTTTTCGTGTATTTGTATTTTTCTGCGTATTTCGGGCTATTTTTACCTCACATTTTTTTTACTGTGTTTGTTTCTAAAAATAATTGCGCTAAAGCTTCATAAACAAATTTAAATATAGTTCAAATGCGCAAACACAAAATCAATCTAATAATAATTTATGAAAATCTAAAGGGGGGAAAATGAAAAACCTATGCATTGGCTTGCATGATTTGAAATGAATTGGATTTGGCACAATTCGTTGCATTATTCTTTTTCCATTTTTGCATATGTGAGAATTATTTTTAGACTTTTGATAGATTTCTAACGGAAATAGCGAAGGAAATGGGTCAAGTTTTGGCACTCAAATGGCGGCAAGGAGGAAATGTTTAGTAAAAATTGGGACCAGACGTCACGGCATGGCAAACATTTTAATTGATAAATTAATTCATAAACGTGGCAAGTGTGCACAGAATTCCAAAGTTGAACGTTGGAAGATGAATACAAAAACAACATTTAGAATATTGTTTCAGCTCTGAATGAAGACACATGTAAGCCAAATTAATTATATATTTTTGCTTTATAAATAAAAAAATGTTCTGATTTCGTTTTGTATAAGTCTGAAAAAGTCTGAACAGCTAATATACTTGTATATAAAATTAAAAAAAGAAAAACTGGTACAAACTCTTTATAAAATTATAGTAAGCAATAAATTTTCCATTAAAAAATAGCATAGGCTTTCGAAATTAATTGACATTTTTGATTTCAATATTCCAATTGTTATCAAAAGAATAATACAATTTAGCTTAAATTTACATAACCATATTTAAAGGTTTGACTATTCATTGTTGTTGAAAATTACCTTAAAAGCAACCAAAGGATATTTGAACAAGAAAAGAATGCTAAAGTCGAGCAAGCTCAACTCTTAAATACCCTGTACCTCCCACCAAAAAGGGAAAAATTAAAAAAAATTGTTTTTAAATAATTAAAAAAAAGTATATTTATTAAATTAAAGACATGTTCATGTACAGTTTCAACAGCATACATTTACATCAGAATCGTGTCTCTGCGTGCTTATATGCGTGTATGTATGCAGCATAAAGTTGAACCCAAGCAGCAACAACAACAACAGCTGCAGCGATTTTATTTATGTCTATAACTTTCTTCAGAATTGACTTATTGATGAAACTTGGCAGACAGACACATAATAACTAACGGGATGTAGCTACTTAATTTAAGTTCGAGTTAAATTCCAAGACCTACGGGAGTTATGGAAAAAACACGAATTGCGGGGGAGTGGGGGGTTGTATCAGAATAAAAAATAAAACTTGGCCTGCTTATGGCTTATGGGAATCTGGATACCGAGTTTGGTTACTCTAGCTCTTGCACCTTCTGAGATCCTTGCGCTCATACAGACGGACGGACGGACGGACGGATATGACTATATCGACTCGGCCTGTCACCCTGATCAAGAATATATATACTTTGTGGAGTCTGCCACGCCTCCTTCTATGTGTTACATACATTCGCACAAAACTAGTATAGCCTTTCACCCTTTGGGTACAGGCTATAAAAATGTCAGGTTTAGTTATTTTAAGAAAAACGAGATAGTTCCGAAAAAGATCCTAAAGTGAAAGGAAAAGTTTTTTGGTTATGCATTTAGTATCAGCCGACTTTAAGAAAGTATCAGCTAGTTGTTATTCATGCGCATTTCCTTTAAAAATAGTGTTTAATGCCCTTTATAATTTCGGTTTTTTCACGCAGCAGATTTCATTAAAATATCTCACAAATTAAGATATTGGATTAAAATTTTGGTCCCACTTGATACAAAAAAGTGAAAAAATAAAATTCCTAAGATATTAAGTTGTTGTGGTGTTTATTTTTATACTTCTATGACGTATGTATGTTTGCATATACTATACAATTAGAACGAGTCGCATGATTGAATGTCAAATGCTAAAAACTCTCACTTGGCAATACGTTTGCTTTTATATCCTCCATTAATCAGTTAAGTATACGATACGTGGGCTTGACATTTTCGATTTTTCACTTAATGGATATTCCATTTGTTGGAATTATTTTTTCAAAGAAATCAAATAGAAACTTGTGTCGCCGTTTTCATTGCCCTGAACTTGAACGACGAGCGGTATGCGCGATAACAACAAAATCAAATGGAAAACGTAACGGAGAGACAGACAAAGAGAGGGAGAGCGAGCATGTTGGCGAAAGTGTTGCTTGTATATGTAAATAAAATAACGTATACGTGCCAAATGTTCTCGGCCCGTACAAACACATACATATGTGTGTATAAGAGAAACACGTCGAAATGAGAACGAGTATGTGGAAAGGCAAGGAAGAAGCAATAAATGTGCGAGTCTGTATATAAAGCAGAGTGTGGGCGCCTGCATATGTACTTACATTTGTTGCTATGTATGTATGTAAACATGTCTCTATCTACGTATTGATATGGGGCCACATAAATAAACGAAATGCAAAACAAATCGGAAACCAACGGCAGAGCCTCTTGAATACCCTTCCGCCAATTCATACTTATACTGAACGGAAACCAATAATTTCAGGAATTGGCAATAAAATTAAAAATTAATTGAAGCGCATTACCGACTTTGATATATAATTTGATCAGTTTTGGCTCATAATATTATTTAAAAAATTGTATATTCTGTCTGTCTGGATGGACGCCTGCGTTTCGGAGACGACTGAGGAAACTTGGTATGTAGACTCTCCTAGTTCCTAAGCAAAATGAGTTTATTTCATTCCTCCATACAGCATTTTGTCAATACTGTCTACAAATCCTAAGCTCAAAATTTAAGTGAAGCCAATAGTAGTAGATCGACAAATTAAAAAATATATAAATTACTGATCATAAAAGCGGTTTGTGGCTAAATTAAATTACGTTTCCAATACTCAATTGCTTGCAATTCACTGATCAGAAGTAAATTGATAAAGAAACACAAAATACGTAGATACATTTCAGTAGTTTGGAAAAGAAATTATTGTTTGGTATCACATTTTAAATCTAAACCATAACAGAAAGAGATAGACATTTGTGAAAAAATTAATTTGTTTCGTCAGTCTGATAAATTGAACAATGGTTTTCCATGCGACAAACTCATTCAGGAGATATGTATGCATATAGTATATTACTATTTGAAAAAAAAAAAACCCCAAAACGCAGATAGGAACCCAATCATTGTAGTGGGGACAATTGTGTATTACGTCCTTACATCGTTATGGACAGAAGGTAGATGAATCAGTTGGTCAATCATCGATCCTAGCTACAGATTAAATAAACCATGTAACCAGTCGCTATCTTTTAACCACTCGGGCCACTCAAAATTCAGAAGAAAATATACTTGTATATGCTTTCGTCATATTTATTGATTTCGTTTGGTACTAGGTAAAAGCTACAGCAGGTGGAAGGCGTCCATTGTTGAGATTATATATTTCACAATAACTATTTTAAGAATCACACGTTTTGCTTAGAAGCTTTTTGCCCTTATTTAACTTTCGGGCATAATTTAATTTGTTATCAGCTGTAAACAATATTGGCTGATAACGACTATTGTCATATACGATAGCAAAACAAAAAAATATCAACATTTTCGTTTGTAAACACATTTGTGTTAACGAAATGCCAGACAAGCGCTTCGAATATAGACGATGCCCAGAAAACGCACTAACTACGACGTAGTTGAAGAGGCGACAAACCAAAGCATGTGAGGCGATAAGAAATGGAAAAAATACCCGAAACACGTCCATATGTACTATCAGCTGTGGCGAAGGAGTATTAGGCTCATAAAACTTAAAAGTAATATTAAGCTTCAATGCTATAATTAAGCAAATAGTTATATATGTACATATGGGTACACAAAACATTGTAATTAATTGACAGGAGCTGAAGATAGTACGGCCTACAATAATTTCAAAGACATAAATAATTTGTTCAATTATGACTTTTCTTTTCAGAAATACGCGTATTGTTTCAAACGGTTAAAATATATTGGTATGGGTGATTTTTGATAGTTGTCAAACCCCTTCGCGGCGCATTAACCAAGAGTTCAATACTTTACGTAGCATTACGGTTTCCAAAATTATCCAAAAATAACTTCAAAATTTAATTGCCACAACAATTTTAGGTATATTATGAAGGATTACGATTTTCTTTATAAAAACTAAATTAAGAAATTATTTCATTATCTGTTTCTGTGAGGGTGGTAGATGCTTTAACAGTTACTGCTAACCAGAGATGTTTAAAAACTTCTTCTCGTCATCGTCTGATCATGTACCTATAATGTACCTATAACCTGGGTGTATGCTATTCTTCCTAATATAAAGTTTAGAGTATACAAATACTATAGAAATGCGATAAGAAAAATGTATACTCCAATCGAAACTAGGTGAAACTAGCTGTAACCAGATTCTTAATTTGAAATGTTTTAATAATGGGCTTTAGACAAGAATTCAGTTCTCTTTTCGAATATTTGTGTTGCACAAATTATATATACAAGTATATACTCATTATAAATATTTTACCTTCCAAATCACGTTCTTCATCGTCCGTGTACAGCGGCCGGTGCGGCACACTGGGACTGTTTTCAGCACTGTTGTTGTTATGCAAATGATTGCTATTGTAATTGGAGGCGACAATGTGGTTTTGTGCCTGTGTAGGATATGGAAAAATTTCCGGCATTGGTTGGACCGTTGGCTGTTGGTATGGTTGATGGACGAAGTGGTTGTAGGGGGCGAGGCACAATGGACGCCCGGCTGCGCTGCACGGCGATGCTATGTCTGGCGGCGTCGGCGACGTTGGTCCATCTGTGCTGAGGTTACAAAACTCGTGCTGTGCCGGCGGCTGGGCACGCACGCAACCCGCACTAAAGACACTGCCCGCGTCGGTGACGGTCAGCTGAAAGTTCTTTTGGGTACCGCGCCGCGCATCAAATGAACTGCTCGTATAGGTAATTCCGCTGCCTGTACCGCTAGGAGCTGGACCGGCCGTAATGTCTATGGTGGATTGAGCGGCACCGGTTGTCGGGTGCGGCTGGCGTAGTGTGAGATTTAGCGAGGTGAAACTTTTGCGAGCACTCGGTGTGCCGGTGACGGGCGACGAAGCACACGACGAGGAAGAGAGTGTGGGCGATAAAGCGGTACTAAGAAAATCGCGCGCGTACGGCAGATCCGGCTGTAGCGTGATAACTGAGCGATGGCGTATAGGCGATGGCTGTTGTACTGTCGAAGCCGCATTCGCTGTCGACGCAGCTTTCGCTGCCAGTGCTGCTGCCGACGTAGGTGACGATAAGGAAACATTGAGCGATATTTCCGATTCGCTGGAGCTCATCGGGCTGGTGAGGCAGGAGGAATCGTTCGAGCAATTGTTTTGCGGCGTATTTGCGAGTATGCTGCCATGACCATGTGGCTTGGGTGGCAGGGGCGGCAGCGGCGCTTTGCGCAGTGGTCGATGTTGTTGTAGCTGTTGTTGTTGTTGCTGCTGCTGACGCTGTTGCAACTTTTGCTGCAATTGCGCATTCACTTGCCGCTGCTGCTGTCCAATGCTCAGGTTGAGCGTTGTGGGTCGAGCCCGCGCTGTTGGCGTCACACCACCGCTGGGCATATCAGCGGCAGCAACAACTGCACCACTAGCATTAAGACTACCACAAATACCGTTTAAATTACTTGTTGCTTGGGTGTTTGCAGTGCCCGGATTACAATTTGCACGCGGTAATTCAATTTTGTGATTAGACGATAACACTTGACTTCGAACATCTTTTGTTGTTTGCTGTGGATGTTGTTGTTGTTGTTGCTGCTTTGTTCCACTATCAGAATTTGGCAACAGACCCCCTGGCACATTCGCCGGTCGCTTTGACGATAAGGAGGGGGGAGGAGGTTGTAAAGGTGCCGCACGTGACGGTTTTAAGGGCGTTGGCGGTTTCAATTGACGCTGAGCTGCCGCTGTTGCTGCCACTTGTTGTTGCTGTTGCTGCTCTTGCTGCTGTTGTTGCAACACTTTAGATGGATACGTTTGCACTGGTATCGGATGTAGAGCCAATTCCTTCTTTAACATTTGTATGCAATTCTCACGATGATGGCAATTCTCAATCACACATTGCGTCACTATTGAATCAGGTATTGTGGGGAATTCTTGCTTCATCTCATGAAACAAATGCATAATACTTATGTTGGTGCAATTGCAGTTCTGCTTTGCGGCCTTGGATGTTGTCACTGACTCCAGCTCCAATTCCGATTCAAGTGCATTACTGCACTCACTCTTGTCGTTTGTGTTGCTGCTGCTCTTATCGATCGGTTGATCACTATACCCTTTTTTATGTTTATTGAACGCTTCAGCTTTGTTGTTATTGTTTGAATTATTATTATAATTATTATTTGTGGTTACGTTGCCATTTAATTTGTGATTATCTGGCGGCATGGGTGGTTTAGCCGCCATTTTAGGCCATCATTTATAAGAATAGCAGACCTGCAAATAAATATTAAAAAAGAAAGTATTTAGTATTACAGTTTTCAATTTAAAATGTTTTTATTTATCTAAGTTAAATGCATAGAAAAAAGAGGACAGGCAAAAACGTTAACTAATTGAATTAGAGCAAAAGAATCGAATAACTCTTTTCCCCTTATATTGATTTTCTATTTTCAAATCGGTGTGTGATGAAATAAAATGTTAGCTCACCTAATGCAATATTATTTCATTTCCACATTTAGCAGAGCGACTAACGCAGTAAATTAAAATTTTCAAAATTAAATAAAATAAATATATAATTGAAAGAAATGTGTATATGGAAAGCGGCCAACATGAAAAAGTAACTCAGGAAAATCGTATGAAAAATCACACGAAAACAATAAATGCAAAGTAATTTGGATAAGCGCCGAAACAATAAACGAATGACAGTGGAAATTTAAAAATATTTATGACACAAGTTCTCATCAAATAAGTTCTTCTGCGGTCGCGTAAACATTTTCTAGAGATATCTACAGATCAGCACCACATATTGTATTGCCTGCTCTTTAGCATTGAACGCTGTCAAGGATTATATGGTGGCATAATCGAACAACAAGGTGAAGGATTTTATCTATTTCTTTGCGTTTATTTTCAAACCTTCGAGATAGACCAACATAATTCAATGGAATATATGCACATATATTCATGGACATTCCCCGATTTTTGTGTGCAGAACTACCTATCCTCTCTATAGTTTAAGGATATTTACACAGAATAAAGGAATGGATTGCATTGCCTACAGAAACATTTGAGCCTACATGCATATTCACCTGAAAGTGTAAAAAAAGAACCGTAAATCTTATCTATATGAACAAATAAAAAGCAGACTACAATTTTGTTTGTTGGTTTATAATGATATCGTAACCAAATTTGTTTTCTGTGAGGTTTTTAAAAATTCACTATATTTGAAAGCTATAATGATTGGTGGAAAAAATTAGAGTTTATTATTTTTCATTCGATTGAGCTGAGACTCCATTTGAATATTATACATGGGAAATACTTGTAATTGGGGCCGTGCTTTGACATCAGTAGTAAGACCCTGCGTATATATATACATACATATGTAAATCTATAGTATTAAGTAGTGATGTATAATGAATATCAATATTTTACATCAGAAGTCTGATTATTTTTACAAAAGTCTCATAATGAAGTGCTATACTATAATGAATATAATAATACATTTTAATAAGTTTGTTTAACACATAATTTGATTACTTTTCTTATATATAAATATGGCAATTAATAATGCTGATATTTTTAGAATAAATTTGGCACCAATAAAAGTCTGAACTATTTTTATACCGGAAAAGTTTCACTAATTGTTAGGTGACCTAAACATTTCTCGATGGTACAATATTTACAGTTCATAAATATACTACATATGTATATATATAAAAAAAGTTAATTGAATTTAGCATTGCATTTATTATATTGTATTTTTTGGTGTTTTTCTTGACATGTTTGCGTTTTATTTTCCCGAAAGACTAGACTGGTGTAAAGAGTATATATAAAATCAATTTACTATACATCACTAGTTTTAACCGGTTTCATATATTTGTAATTCGGGTACTTACATTTTGATAAGTTTTAAAGAAACCGATTTGTATGCACTTAAAGGAAGTCAAGAATTTTTAATTCAATAATTAACTTTATCGTGTCACAAGTATTTATTGGTCTCAGTAAACGCGACTTTTATTGAAGCTCCCGAAACTACTATAACTTTTTCTTGAGCAATTTGTTTTTGTTAAAAAAAAGAAGTGAAACATTGAATTTTTAAAATTCGTTGTTATTATATTATAGTTTATACACAATTAGTTACATTCCGTTTTTTTAATAACTAATTTGATTTTAAATTGATTTTGCGTTCAATTTAAAAGAGTTGTGTATTGATTAAGCAAAACAAATACATATACCGCCACGCACTAAATGTTATATTGACAGAACAGATTTCTGTAGCTCGCTGGCAACCACTCGAGACGTCTACACGCTTTTAATGCTAACGAAAAACTGAAGAAATTTTCGAAAACGTTCAAAAATGATTTTTTTTTTTTGGCTTGTTAAGACGAAAATGAGCAACAAACCCAAAAGAAATTGTATATGTTTGTATGCATGCTCTCTCGCTTAGAGACATACATACGTACATACTTGTACGTAGGCATGTCTGAGAGAGCGCTTGCAATGTTGACTTCGCATAACATCTGATATGCACATTCGCATTTACTTGTATACAAAATAGTGTACACTATTGCATTAAGTCGTATGCGTAATACGCGCCAAAAACAGTAATAAATATTGGCGTTATTGTGGTTTTGGGGAACTTTTCAGCAACCACAAAACAGCTTAGCATGCATTACGCATACGCAGTGTATACGCTGCGGTTCAAAGAGTTGATCTGAGCTGAGCTGAGCTGTTGATTTCTTTGCCCAACGCCTGCTGTCGTCTACTGAGGCAACGATAGGCCACAAGCAAAGCAAATCAATTAAATCATTAATTATTTTTGCACACAAACACACACAGAGGCACACACACACACACTAAGGTACAAAAAGTCAGACAGAGAGTTGATTTTGAGTTTTGCTTATAAGAGAGAATTTATGCCATGAATATGTTTGCCAAAAAAACACAAGTGTGTGCGAAGAGGCAATGAAATTATTTGCATTTGTCTGTGGATGAGTGAATTTTTCGTTGGTGTGTGTGTGTGTGTTTGTTTGTGTATGCGCTCGCGCTTTCTGCTTCCAAATAACATTTTTCATATAAACGTCTTAAAAATAAACTTTCGTGTGGGTGTTACACAAAAGCACAGAAAATTGAATGAAATATTTAAAAACAAAAACATCAAAATCTACAACAACAGCATCGAAATTCGTGAGCAAAGGAAATTATAATGGAATTAAAAATTGATATGTGCGGGCATTAAGACGAGCAGAATAAATTAATGACATTTTAGAGGTGGAAAAGTTCAATTATAATTTAATTAATTAATTGTATATGTATATATGTTTGATCTACAGTATTAAAAAATCGTTTGCATATATGCAATTATTGATTAAACATTAAACATAAATATTGAATAAATTAATGACATTTTGGAGGTGGAAAAGTTCAGTTATAATTTAATTAATTAATTTATGCATACATATATATATGTATATATGTTTGATCTACAGTATTAAAAAATCGTTTGCATATATGCAATTATTGATTAAACGTACTTGGAAGTTTGTAATGCAATTAATATACAATTAAGAATAGAAATAAATAAAATAAGTCAATATATGCTAATTTATATTATATTATTTCTTATTATTAAGGCATGACCATTTGTGCCTTGAACTAATATTCGCTATTAAAATGCTGGTAGGTTTTCAAAATTTTACTAATCACCTGACACCACCTGTCGTCGCTGACGGATTAAATCTGCTATAAAGAATTAAAATATAACAAAATGTACCTTTATATATATATATATTTAATGACAATATCAATAAAAACAAATAATAAAAATGTGGTACACTAAAAATACATACATATTCATAAAAAAAACGACATACATATTGAAGAAAAGCATTAATAATAAAGTACGGCATTAAATTCGTGATGGCACATTTAACATGGCGCCATAAAAATGGCAAGTCATAAATATTATTAATTTTTTATTTTTTGGGGTGTTTGTTAAAGGAGGGAATACATACAAGGTTTACATATTCTAGCAATGTTTGAGTCTATAAAAATATATAGGCTATATATATATATATAAATAAATGTTTATCTTTAGAAAGTATACATGTTCTACATATATAAAAATATATTTGGAATCAAGTATTCTGATAGATAGGTAGATATTGAATGAGGAAAATAGTTATCTTCGGCTTCGAATTTACAATGTTCCTCTTTAGGTCAATATCCGTTTTGTTAACTGATTTGTTGCCAGGTTACCGCTACTGAAAAACTTGGCCAACGGGTTGTCGCAGTTGAGGGCCTTTTTTTGTCACCATGAATATTTTGTAATTAAAAAATCTGTTAATCATTTGATGCCAGACCCGGGCTATACAATGTATTAGCTCCTCCCAACCACGATCTTGCGAGGGAGCTCCCTTTCCATCAATCAATATGTGTGGTCTAGCATTTTCATGCAGCAAAACAATGCCTTTTCTATTCACTCATTCTGGTCGTTTATTGGCAATCTTTAAACGGTGTGTGTGGCAGCTCATAGTAGCTCAGTCAAACTAAATCCACAGCAAACTCATTCTAGCTGTTAGTTCTGGTTTCAATCATTTTCACGATCTTATAGCAATTTTCAACTACGTTTCTACCTATCTCTCACGTCAAGTCTCATAACAAATTAATCGACCTATCAAGAAGCGACAAATGACTTTTTAGAATCCCCCACTTCCAGTAAGCGCAATAACAAATTAGTTTGACCAATACTTAACGAATTCTAATATCTACAATTTTTGTAAGAAATTTCTTTCCTATAAAAAGAAAAGTAATAAATTTACAAAAAAAAAAAATATATATATATATATATTTTGTAAAGCTCCTATTTTAATTATTTTAGAATTTTCTTGAATTAATTTAAAGAACTTCAAAATGAATAACTTTTGAAATTTCTCCAACAATTTAAAATATTTTTAAAAGTGTTTATACAAAAATATTGTAATTGGCACTGCATTGTAGACAACCATTGAGATTAAGGTTAAAAGCCCGAAATGAAATTAAAATTTACATAAAAAATGTAACTAATACGAAAAGCGATTCGTTCCATAAAATTCCATCTTAGCGGTGCAGATTTATGAACGGGACAGACGCGAAGCGAAGCCAAAAACAAATGTCTTCAAAACACGTAAATTGCGATCTGATATTTGAAAATATAAATTTAAAGATGTTGAGAGGAATTTCGCTAGTGTGCGGGTAAGGGAGACCTGGTAATGAAAATTCGTATTTGTGTGCGTTTTGTTTGCCCATTTTGTGGAGGGTGGAATAAGGCAGATTTCATATGGGCTGCCAGAAAATGCACAGGCAGATGACCAACAAAAACAACAACATCATCAGCAGCAGCAGTAGCAATAAAAACATCGAACGACTAACCGACAGATCGACCGACTGCAGACGTAAACGACCTTCACAATTAGCGAGAGATACATATGGATGTATATACGAGTACATACATATCTACATATGTAGATGCATATATGTGTGTAGTTTTATTTGCAAAAGGAAATTTGCGTCAAAAATGCTTCTATATGAAATTGAAAAGAGCTCGTGCAGACCCGCAATAATATGATTAGAAAATACTTAGCAAGACATACAGGTTTATGTTTTATGAAGGTATATAAACATCTGTCTGTAGCAGCAATTTTGCGCAGGTAACTGATTGCTTTTCTCTTTTTTGACAACAAAAAATATAAATTTTCCTAAATGAAAAAAACTTGCGTTGTGTGCCAGAAATTTACAAAGTAATTAAATTTATGGCAAGACGTACGCCTCTCGAATGTTGATGTTATTATGGCGGCATGCAATTTCTTTCTATTCCATTCATTAATGCTTTGTAAAACAAATGGGCGTGTGCATCCATTCTTTTTGTTTTTGGGAAAACTCAGAGTTAACCATGTATATACTTTTCCCAGAAAGGGAGCTCTTACCTGGAACTTTTGACTCTCAACGCGTTAATAAGTGCAATTTCGGTATTTAGTAGCCATGATGACTTAAAGTAATTATAGAGGTTAAGCTTGTTCTGTTTACATGTACATGTTTTAAAATAATGTTTTAACATTAACTTAAGCGAAATAAACAACTTAGAAATGGGTAAGTTCTGGGTCGAAAGAATTAATATAAAAATATACAATTTTGAATTTAGGAGATTTGTTCTTTATGAATTTTTACTACCATCGGGTATTTCATTCTTTTGAAGCCTATTTTAGGTACATATCAATGCACCGACCGGAAATCTCGCTGTCTAGCACGTCAAAAAATATATAAATAAAGAAAAAAAATTTGTACACAAAAATAAATTGCAAACGGGCAGCCCCACAGCGCCACTCTTATTGTCCACGCAAACTAACAACAAACAGATCAATTTTGAAACAAAATATACATACATATAGTATGTATGTATACACACGCATATGAGTACACAACATACTTACATTGTTAATATACATAACAACATGGAAAACAACTTTCTTTGTGAGACGACCCGTATATAAAAAAAAAACGTACGTAAGTATGCACGAATATTATGTATAAAAGTCTATATAAAAAGTACCGAATTTCTTCAAAAACAAAGTATGAAAATATAAATCAAATGAACGCGAGCGGACCACAAAAAAAAAACAAGAAAAAAGAAAATAGAGTTAAAAACATGAACATGAAATGGAAACAAGAAAAGAAAATGGGACGAAAATATTTAATTTTATTTTGTGCGGTTCTCGCCAATAATTTGAAGAGGCGTTTTGCGGAATTCGCTGCAGACGTCAGTCAAGGCCTGACGTCATTAGAAAATTGGAAATTGGAAGAAACGCCGTTTTGCTGTGCATGTATGTGTACTATGTATATATGTGTGTGTGAATGTGTCTGTCTGTCTTACTTGCGCAGTGCGAAAATAAAAAGATAATACTATATGCGGCTTATTTATTTATGCATGCTGAATTTTTAAAAATATTTTTTACGCCTTTTTTTCTTCGTTGATCCAATGTGCAAATAATCAAAACGGAGTCAAAGACTGGTGCTATATTTAGGTGCTGTCCAATTGGGCGTGAAATGTGACATCTGGGCGGTATGCTCGTCTGCTTATCGCCAACCTGGAAAAGCGCACTTTGAACTAAAGCCACAAAATGATGGGAGAACGCAACGTAATCAAGAAATATTTAAGGCAGGTTTGCCCGCTGATAAGGACACACAAATGCTAAGTAGATATAAGTATGTAACATTAACCTCGAAAAAGCGTCCGATTAATTTGAAATATTTTGATGAAATTTTTCTTACTGAATAAAGAGTGTACATTTAAAATATTATATACATATATTGCTTAATAACCAGCGTACAATCGTTAAAGTTACACATATCAAATGAGAAATGTCTAAGCATCTACTAAATATTAAAGTTGAGCTCGAATTTATTCAAAAACCCACAACGCAGTGGAACTAAATATGTAACGATCGATGTTTTGTTTACATATCGCTTGTCTCAGTGATTAAAATGCTAAACTGGTTTCTAAATATTCCTTAAGGTTGAACTGAACTTTGTTTATGTCCGCTAAATACTCAGCTGATTTTGTATTGCTTTCATAAAGATCCATATCATCAATTTTGCTTGATATTGCCAAAACAACTATGTAGTATGTATGTACATATGGATATTTACCCTACTTTAAATATACAAATCCATATACATATGTATGTACATACATACGTACATATGTACATAAGTTGGCTATGTATATTGAAAAAGCACTGCATACATACAAAGTTATCTCAGTTGCTCAAGTTTTACAAGCATGTGAATAAATAATAAACTTGCTTATGCCGGGAAAATCCCGCAATGCAGCAACAACAAAATATAAACAAAGACGCAAAATGTGGAATAAAATACCTACAAATTTACATTTGTACACATTTTTACAGATGCACGTACATAGTATGTGTGTATGTACGAGTATGTACATAACAAAAGTGTTTCGTTATGGCAGACAACAATAACAAAAACTAACGCACTTGCACAAGTGCAAATACATTTGGGGCAGAACTAAGGCGATCGTACAACAAAGGCAGCCATTGATAAGCAAGTGGCTTGCTAAAAAAGGTACACATACATATGTATGTGTGTATGTCCGTATACATACATATGTCTGTGTAGTATCAATATTTGCACTTTAGATTACATACATATATGTATGTATCTATATGTACATACATATGTACACAAAAACATAGATGTATAATAATATGTGCTTGCACATATTTACATATTTTCGCAAGAATTAAGGCCAGGCCAGTTGGAGTTGCTTCTTATCACAATGGCGGGACGGAATTAATCGTGCGTAAGTATATACATATGTACATATACATACACGTATATTAACGTCTGCATGTACATATGTATGTATGTACGTACATACCATGCACATTTATTGACGCCCCAGTGGGCAGACGTGCGAAAGGGACACGTAGACCCAACGACTGTTCGTATTAACGGCAAGTGACAGCAACAAAACACAACAACCACACATAGAAAAGATAAAAACCAGCTATACAGAGAGCTTCAGTGTGTGGGAGCGAGCGAGAGAGCGTATAAAAACAGGTGACATTGGTAGCAGTGCTACGCAACTGTAGATAAAAGCAAAATTAAAATAAAATGTCAAATATTTCGTTGGTTAAAAACTACGTCAAGTGGCCGTTGTCGTCGTGGACGCATGTGGAAATGCATGATAAATATGAGAGCAAAAGGTAGCATGGGCAAAATACACAGCCACCCCCACAACTAACACAAGCACAAACAACCAACAATATCGGCCCGTCTGACTCTGATTGTACGATGAAGGCTTTGGGAAGGTGGCGGACGCAATTTGCTGCATATGTAAAGGTGTTTTGCACAGAATGCCTACCAAAATCAAATTTGATGGCACATAAATACAGAAGTATTGTACATGCAGGCGCATATATGCAAGTATGTAGGTATGAAAAAACATAGTCTTACAATTGTGTGTGTAAGTGAATTGTTTTTGCCATTTTCTGGTTATTCTGTTATCTGTTGGGTTTGGACGGGCACAAATTGGGCAATTAAGTACTTTGCGCACCTTTGTAAGCCTAGTATCCTGGTTTCACTTTTACTTACCAAATATATAAATTTTTTATTGGGCCCAATAGCTACGTATTGAGATGTTATTTTATTTTCACTTTTTAGTTAGGCCTTTATTTTAATTGGCTGGGAATACCTGGCAGACAACTATTATACACAAACACAACACACACGATCCGCGTTTTAATATGGCCGAACACGGTTTTCGCTAAGCTTTCACAAATTGAATTAAATTTCGTGCATTATCTTTTTTCGTCTTTAACGCTATTATTTACGCGATCCGTCAGCGAACGAACTAAAGTACTGCGTTGCCACCAACGTTTTGTAAAGCACAAAACAGCTGTGGGGCTGCCAGCTTATTAAAACTATAGCAATGACAATCAAAAGCTCACTGGTACAAAACACAACGGCCCTCAATCAGCTGGAAATGAGCACGCGTGACAAAATTTGACTGCACGTTCACGGAAACGTTCACGAAACTTGTACATATACGATTTTCCCTGTTTTTAACAAAAATAATTTATATTTAGGTACTTCTGGTTACTTTCATTTTAAGTTATTATTTTTCGTAGATGTTGAAATCTATTTTTGACCGAATAATTTGGGTTTTAATATATTATAAAATGATTGCAGTTACACTTGCAAAACTTTACTGCAGTTTTTTTTTTTTTTTATCAAAATAAGTTAAGCTTTATATATATCAATATGGATTTGATTTACATGTATGTATGTACATCGTGATTCTTGCACGGAATTAAGAATAATGTATGATTTCAGCTCATCTCTATTAAAAGCAAAAACAGTTGAGAATTAATATTTATTTCAATACCAAACCGTGTACAACTTGCGAAAAACATGTATAAATAACACTGAGAAACATACAGTTTTTTGTTAAATAAGTAACTAAAATCAATATATACTACCAGATGTACATTTGCGCGCTCTAAAGAAGTCCAAACAAATAATAAAAGATGGGCAGGATAAGCGCTGCCTTGGCATTGGTAATACCCGTAACGGCAATTATGAGCTTGAAGACGCCATAGTAGAAAAGAAGCTGCAGCGCAACGTGCATGCCCAATAAGCTATAAACGAAAAATAATAACTGTAAGTAAAAAATAGTTCTAGTTTTAATGAATAGTTTCCTACATTTTGTCCTTACGGCGAGCTTTGTCAAGATTCTTGGGAGATTCTTTGCTCAGGTACTGACGTACGCCCATAATGGTATTGGAAAAGTATTCATCCCAAGCCAACTCGCCAATATCGATGAAAAATTTCTTACGATCGGCTATGTCTAAAGTTTTGGACAGGGCCAGCAGACGTTTGCTGTCGAAATGCCATTCCGTGAAGATGAAACGTTCCAGAGTGTTGAGGGAGTTCCATACGTTCTTGTGCAGCCGCATTAAACTGTGGATTACAAATATGAATTATTCAAATCGAAATTGTGGGTTTTAGATGCGCACATTGGTCTGCCGCCGGAAATTTTGGTAACCAAGTCAAGGAAAAATCCAGGAATAAAGTGAAATAGAATGGCGCTCAATCTAAACAAAAACAGGCTTTTGACCAGGCGCAGATTTGGATACCAAACAGCGCTGTTAAGCGGATATTCATGCAGGTAGGTGTTGATCTTATCGGCCAGGAATTCAAACCGGAATGGTTTATAGGTACTCGATGTTAAGTGGAAGATTTGCAGCTCCGCAGGACGACCGCCATTTTTGGCTCTGCGAAGACAGGTAGAGGTTACATTTGGAGGTCGGACAGTAAATAAGCCACCTACTTTAACGTGTTGACGTAATAGCCAGTGGTTATGATGCCATTGACAACGACATCAATTGGTATATAGTCCATAATAATGCTGGGATCTAAGGGTAGACGACGCAAGATGCCCTTTGAGGCACCCATGAAGAAACCCTGTGGGCCGTTCTTGGAAATGGTCCATCCTGGAATTGGTTCCTTCCACGCCGCCGTAACTGCAACGCATAGAAAAGTTATAAACGATCAGAAACACTGGCAATGTAGTTGCAACTTACTCATGCTGGGCCGCACAATGCCACAGGGGAAACGAGAGGCCGTATTTGCCACCTCATGCTCGGCTAAGTGCTTGGTGAAGGTGTAAGTGTTTGGATGATCCTTAAGCAATCTGAAAAGATGTAAACATTAGTATTTTGCAGTGCATGAATAGACGTGGTACCCACTTCGGCTCCAGCTCCTTCAAAGCATCGTCGCTTAAGGTCTCGGACAGCTGTATAATTTTTTCTGGATCATCAGGCAATGGATAGAGCTTTTCCTCCACCTCGGTGATGTATGCATTCACATAAGCGCTAGATACATGAACGAGCGCATCTAATTGGCGCAGCTGTTGGCATAACTCAACCACCCGACGTGTGCCACGCAGATTTATGTTTGTGGTCTCTTTGAGGGATTGGAAAAAATCCAATGTGGCGGCGGAGTGAAAGACCACATTAACATTATCGATGAGTGTTTGACGATCTTTGGGCGAAATACCCAAATGATCCAAGCCAACATCGCCCTCGATGGGTACAATCTTTGAAAGACGCGCCTCCAGCTTTAGCTCCTTGAAGCGATCAAATACCGAGTTTTTCTTCAACTCCTCCAGGCGCTCCTGCACCGACTTGCCCTTTTTTGCGCGCATAAGCAAGTACAGTGTGCCCACGTTGGGGACATCGCGAAGCAGCTTTTCCACAATGGTAACGCCCACAAATCCCGTGGCTCCGGTAATAAAGACATTACGCCCCTCGTAAAATGCAGTAATGGGTGAGCTGTGAAGTGATGGTACAATTTTTAAATTAATTGCTTTATTCAATAAAATTAATGCGACTATTCACAGATTCTGCCCTACGCTGCGAATGGGTATTAAAAACCGCTTTCTCCAATTCAAATACAAGTAGCTGAGATGCTGCCTACACCATCGACTGCTTCGGACTTTGATTACGACAACACGCCGAAAACGAAGCTGCGCATGCGCGCCTCTTTTGGAATGCTGCCCTGACTGCCAACGTGTCTCTCTTTGGTCTGGTCAGGTCTGGTCTGGTCTGCACCTCGTTTGCTGCTTTTGCGCAATTTTGGCTAATTGAAGGTTAAAACCCGTTTGTGTGTCAAGTGTGAGTTCTAAGTGCTCACCACACCTGTAATCTTTGTTTATTTATTTATTTCTTTTTAACCAAATTGCGACCATGTGCTTGGGTTCAGCTTTGATGTCACTACCAACATCTATTTGGGCGTAACTCGCAGCCATGGATAGCGTTAAATTTGAACACATAAGAGACGATGCGATAATTTTCAAATTTCTGGCAGGTGTTTCGCTTTCTCTTTTACCACATCTGTTCACAAAATGTGGAATTGTATGGAGGGTTTAGAACGTATTCTCTAAAATATCTCCTTCAACTATCATTCTAGCTGAGAGTGCCAAGGTTACTTTTCGCATTTTATTTTATTTTATTTTATTTTATTTTTAAAAAATAATTTCAATGTAGTTACCAGAATTGGCGTTCAAATTAACTGCATTTAATTTAGTGGAATAAATTTGATGTGCTTTTGTTTTTAGCACGTTTCAAAGATTATAAATTAATGCTGATTGTCTAATTTGCAATTTAGCAAATTAACACCAGCTGTAGTAATAAAATAAAAATTATCTTTAAATCAAAGTAAATGCTTTGAAAATGACTTGGAGCAATATTTTTCACTGTTCTTGAATGGGAAAACTACGCTTGCCACTGGATTTTGTCTGCATATTAATTATGTTGATCACCCACCATTGTTGTATGAAGATTGTTTTCAAAGGTGCTGCACTTAATGATGGTGTTGACGCAAACATTTCACTCTTAATGAAGACTAGTTTCTATTAACAAGGTTTCATAATGTCTGTACAAATGATTTTATAATGAACAAGCGGAATTTGTGTCATAGCTTGGTGGGTCTCGCGTGTGTTACACAATTATTGTAAGAGATACATAGAAAACGAAAAAGTAATACAAAACACTTTTTTGTTTACCAACTCTTACAATCAAATGTCATTTTAATGTTTGTCTGAGCGCCCATCAATGAGTTTTATTAAGCAACATGCAGGCGAAGCTTGCAAAATATTTACATATAGTATGAACACTTTTTGCCACATCAGACCCTTGAGTGCAGCAGTGCAACTGAAGTGTTGCAGCTTTGTAGCTGCATGCGAATTCGCTTCATCATGGCTGCTCTCAACTGCTCTCAACGTATGGACAGGCTGCTGGCTGTGGTCTGCTCGCCGTTAGTAGCTATTGGCTATCTGTCATACTAAATTGAGCTTTCACTTTACGCTCAACTGCAAATTAAACGAGGAAGTATAGCAGAAGTCGCAAGTCGGTCAACAAAACTAAAATCCAAACCATACAGCGACAAAAAGAAAAAATAATAAAAAGAAGAAATGAAAACTAATTTCTTTTGCGTTCGATATTGTATCGAAAAAGCTGTTCGAAAGCAGAAAATAGAAACTAAAAACCTCCATGAACTGATAATTTAGCCAACGTTGCAAATATTTGCATCTATTAACATCTTCATTAATTTGTTTTGTCTGACGTTTTGGCGAAAAGCGATTTGCAAATCTTTTACACAACTCCTAACCTTTGACTATTCACTTCGTACCAGTGCATAGTTTTTGATTTGCCAACAGTTATGCAGTAAATTGTGTTTTTATCGCGAGTGCCAAGGGGTTTGCGCTTTACCTTGATTAGATTTCGAATTTCGGTAGCGCACGTCTTATCTGCGGCAATTATGGGAATCTTATAGCTATACGATTACGCTCATGTGGCACCCAAGTCTGTTCAAGTGTGAACAATTTATAAGTGTAGTTCATTAGTCGTGATTGCACGTTGAAGAATATAGAGGAATGCAATCAAATTATTTCCAATGACTATTCCTTCTTGATTTCTATATTTAGTATCTACTTACTATATATGATGAGTATGCCATTGCACCAATCGTTTCTATTACTGCTAGCTATATAGTATGATGAAAATCAGATGTGATTGGAAGAAGAACGCTATAATATAGTGAGAAGAAAGATTTCGAAAACAGAATTTATTGTGAACGGTGTTAAAAAACACAAAATAGGAGAGTTTAAATTGAAGAAAAATTTATTGTTTGTATATGCTGCTGTAAGGATATAAGACCTTATATATTTATGTCTATTTATTGAAAATTAGGTGAAGAGTACATAAATGTAAGGTAGCTTCCAAAAGCCCTTTTATAGATGGGTGTAGAATTTATATCACAAGTGATTTAGTTTTGTTTAGCATTTCGGTCCATTCAGTACTTTTCCATAACGTCTCCAACGTAGTTGGTCTAGACAGGGCCACCGGGTTAGTAGGGTACATGTATATGTATGTAGTACGCATAACCAGTTTGTCAACAGGTAATATTAAGCTCACTCTGATCGAATAAAATAACCGTAGCGCGCAATGTAAACTAAAAGGGGGGAAATGAAGTGAAGGCTTAAAGGGCGTTTGTAGGTCTGTCAGTCAACGCTCATAAATACAATAATCAACTGGGTTGGCTCGGTATGCACACACAGCAATTACAAATTGCATTTGAAGTTGCAATTAGGGAGACACCCTTGTAATACCCACCACCCCCCATGCGACGCCTTAGCGCTTGCCCCTACTCGAATGCCGCTCACCTTTGAACCACAAATTGCGAGTCCAAAGAGATAAATAAAAATAAATACAGCGCTCTGTTCAATGAGCACCGCTGGACCCAAGTATCTAGTATTGATCGCCCTTATTCAACCAAGCACACAACTGCACACATTTTATGTTAAATTTAATTTTCACACTTACCTGCTCATTTTAAAAGCTACGTTTGAAGTACGCTTGGCCACAAATCCAATATTAAAACAAGTTTATTTTTTTATTTGTCAATTTATCCGTTTCCAGTTCTTTTCTACTCGTCCACACAGAATATCAAAAATTTCTCTTTTCGTTTTTGTTTTTGGATTTCTTAGACATTTGCTGCAAAGCTGTCTAATTCTTCGCCTCTTTCCTCACTCTGTTGTTGTTTGCTGCTACGAAGTAGTAAACAAAGTATACACATGCGTGTGTGTATGTGTGTTTGCTCATGTATCTATGTACAATATATGCACATATGTATGTATGTATTCTTAACAGTTACGCGCCTGTGGAGATGTGTACATATGTATATGTACGTGTGTATGTGTGATTGTAGCTGCTCTGCTTATCCAAAACTCTGTGCTGCCGCGCGATCACAACTCAAGCGTTTGCCGGCCGAAGCTAAACTGTTCGACGAGCAGCGAGTCGTCAACTCTGTCCGCTGGTCACAATCTCGATGATCATCATGCGGGAAACCAGTTATGCAGTGGCGTCCACTAGAAGGGGTGCAAACAAACCACGCAGCTCATCATGTTGTAGAGAATTTTAATGAGGATCATCGCGATGCTGCTTATTTCACAAACATAAGAGTTAGTACGCCAATAGGCTCTTGTAAACCATCATAGGAATCTCAAACTTGGTAGCGAAATAAACAACAACATTTTCATTTAACTTTATAAAATCAGATAGTAATAAAATAAATGCGTTACATATATCTATTTAAATGTAGAAGCTAAGAAATTACAAGAAAATTGTATATCTTAATTTTAATCTTTTGGCGTTAGCACCCTATTTGCGAAGAAGGTTAGATATGTAGAATTTCGGTATAGTTTGTTGGTGAGTAAGTTTATTAATTTTGCCACTAGTATTTGTACATGAATTTATTATAAATTATTGAAAATTGTTTTTGTACATTTACAAAATAAAAGTAAAACGATAAAACAATAAGTACATGTACTTTTAGTCTGCTAAGTATAGAAGCTTAAGTAAATAGTGCTAATAAATAATTGCATACTTTTAGGCATACATAAATGGGAAACTTTTTCATTTGGTATTTTGTAGCCCTGGCTACGAACAACATTTCTGTAAACTTTTGGGGTTATTTCAAAATGTTAATGCTGGCGACCAATCTCAAAATTGATATGACACTTAAAGTTAATTAAATGTTGGCTATAAATAATTTCGTGCAATAGTAGTTTTTAGAATATTCCATAACAGTTCGATATAACAGCTTATTTCCAGCTTTTAATTGGCTGCACCTATCAAAATGGTCATTAGGCAAAGGAAAGTAAGTAACGCAGCTTCACAATATGTATTAAGACTTAAAATCGGTTGACTGTTCTGGGGGCTATACAGGTTATTATAAGCTGAAGCAGCTGTAGAAATTGCCCGATTTTTGCAACATCTTTCAGGTGCAAGTTTTCGCCATAAGGAAGGCAGCAGAGCTTCTAGACAACTAACTTTTTAAAATACAGACAGAAAATCTGGCTAAAGCAAGAGCAGACCTACCAACTGCAATATCTGAGAAGGATAGTGACGTAGAATTTCTGAAATCCAACTCACTGCTTGGTAACCACCCATGCCAAAAACCTGGTTATAACAGGCAGTTGTGAAGTTAGTGTTTATATTGTGTTTGTATATTTGTATCCCATTAAGGAATAACTGTAGCTTACATATTAAAGGAAATAATATTAGTTGTGGCCCAGTCCGCCTGTTTCTCGCACAGTCACATAGGTAGTTATAGTCTCATTTTTGCATCGACGAATCTTTTTGGTGGACGCTTCTTTTCAATATAGATGTCATTTAGTTAAAAACAGCATTTCTAGCTTTTGTATCCAAACTGCGTATCAAGAATGAAGAAGAACAGGAACAGAGACTAAGGTAGCCCTTAGTTCGTTTATTTTATTTTGAAGCTCAAAGTTATATTTAGATTCTGAATACATTTTACGTTTTTGACAAATTCTCAAATAGAAAAAAGAAAGAAGAGCACAAAGACCTATTTCTTAAAATTTATTTATTTATTTCAATAATAGATACATATTTTATTTATTATTTATTTAGCGTTTACGTTTACAATCGTATTCTATAAGTGCACAAACGTTGACTATTTCCTATGTACTTGTATGGATTTATTTATGTAGTACTATTTAGGTATTGTTTATTCGTTTAGTTAATGTGACTACGCTACACAATTTAACTACGTTTTGGGCTAATTTGCATTGCCTTGTAGTAGATCTTTTATTGAAAAACAAATTGGCTTTAGTAGTTGAACAATTATGCACATAATTATCGTATGAATACATAGCGCGTATTGAACTGACTTGTACTCGAGTGAAGACTTAAAGTAAAATACATAATACCCTACTAAGAAGAAAAATCTACATGGAGAAGACAGGCAACCTATGACGATGACAACGCGGAGAATAAATGAAGAAGGTGCGGATGCGGTGCTTATTTGTTTTGGATTACAACCAGACCAGAAATCCCCAGATGAGCAGAGACAGTGACAAGCCGACTTGCACGCCCAGGAATGGAGTTAGCGCAAAGTACAGGACTCCAAAAATGACAACGTAGCCCAAGTAGTAGAGAACATTGAAGCTGTGAAGGAGAAGATTGGGGGAGCATTGAGCATGAAATAAATACAAAGATGATGTGAGAGCTAGACACTTACACCTTCCAGTAGTTGCGATGCCATTGTGTGGTCAGCGCCGATTCCTTGAAATAAAAGCGTCGAATGCCAATTAGGCAACGATCGATGAACTCCGACCAATCGCAGTGACTAGCATCGAAATTATAGCGCTTGCGATCGGTGTCATGCATGATCGATGAGATGCGCAACGCATTCTTGAGTGAGTACCGAAAATCTTTGTCAAGAAAATAGTCGAAAGCTTTGGTGCCCTTCTGAAAGACGCGCATATACTCGTAAGCCCTGCAACAAATGAAAATGTTGGTCAATTGGTCAATTGGTCAATTGTCTGAACACTGATGCAGTACTTGTATATAGTAAACAGATTATTGCAGTTGTACTTACGTGTGCTGCGGCATGCCAATGCCAAAGAGCTTCTCCGGTATGATGAAGACCATAGCGGGCAAAAGGTGGAACAGATAGAAGAATAGATTGTACCGCCAGCCATTGCGGAGTTTCGCCGATGGCTTCCACACAAAGTTATTCGGTGGATGACGCTCCACGCTGTCGTTGATAATGTTGCAAAACTGCGCCAGAGTCAGTGGATTGACCTCGCCGGAGGTGCAGTGTATAACCTCGGGCTGGTCCAATGGCCGGGTGCCCACATACCAGCCCATGACCAGCGATGAATTGATTACATAATCGCACGGAATGATGTCTATAATAGCATTGGCACGCCCGCACATTGTCCGAAAAATGCCCTTGACGAAGCCGGCCAGGAAGCCCAAGTGCCCAGAATTGGCGTTGCCCACCCAGCCCTTCATGGGATGCTCCAATGTGCCGTAAACTGTATGAAGGATCGATCACACATGGATGCTAATTTGTAAGTAGAGTGTGCTTGTCGACTCACCTATTGATGGCCTAACTATGGCTGCCGGGAGACCGGCCATTTCTGCCATGAGCAAATTCTCGGACAGATTCTTCGTAAACGTATACGTATTGGGGTGATCACGAATATAGCCTCGGCACTTTTGCTCCGTAAAGTCCACCCAAGCCTCATCGTCTTCCGCCATTTTCATCATCTCGTATGGGTCGAATTGTGACTTGTAGACTTCCTCGGAAATGAGGCCGCGATTGTTGCTATTGCAGAAGGCCGTGGAGCAATAGATGTAGGCGGCCAGTTGTTTCAATTGCTTGGCCAGTTCAATGGTACGCATCGTACCCGTCAGATTTGTCTTGATGGCCGTTCGCAGCGGTGAGCTGAACTTAATGGTCGCCGCACTGTGATATATCACATTGACCCGTTCGATCAGCTCCTGCAGTATATCGGCGCTGAAGCCAAAGTTCGGTTCACTTAACTCGCCCACAACCGGCACCACTTTGGCGAGCGTCTTCTCATTGTACTTCTGAAAGATCTGCAACGGCAGCACACCAGGTGTGAGCGTGTTAATCGAATATGACAATATGTGTACGCGGCAATTGTTAAATATTTGAGTGCAGCACCCACACTCTCTGCGTTAAGTACGAAAAAACAATATCCACAAGACTGGGCCACCATAATTATGCATCATTTGCTGTGGCCCTTAAGTAAGAAATTGGTATGACAACGGGGAAAAGGCAAACAAATTTTAAAGCGCCATTAAAAATGCGTTTAAAAATATAATTAGAAAAAAATGTCTTAGCCTACGGACGGGCATGTGGTAACAGCAAAAACGTTGTCCCATAATGCGGATTTAAAAAAATAATGAGCCAAGCAAATAGCCCAACAAATTAACGCGTTGTAATAACAATGTATGTGTCTTTAATAAGAGCCGGTGTCACAAATGTTAACAACGATATGTGAGGTCGCCCCAGAGCATGAAATACTTAAACACGGAGCGTGTCTGAAACGGTAGTACTAATGCTACGTATTCAGTATATGGGAACGAGATCTGTCCTAGCGAAAGGCACAAGTTCGTTGCCCAAGTCTTTCGTACTTACCGGCTTTTGCAGCAAGCGATTTATGCGTTCGTTTGGATCGAATTTACGCTTGCCTCTGACTAGTACGTAGATGGTGCCAATATCCGGATGTGTGTCCAGCAGTGCCTCGATCAGCACAGTGCCAAGGAAGCCTGTGCCGCCAGTTATGAAAATATTTTTGTGTGCAAAGAACTCAGGCACGGTCAGCGCATTGCTAATATGCCGACCACTCAGCCCCTGATGCGCCTTCAGCGTGTTCGCCAGCGCATCCTCGCCGTTGCCGTTGATGCCGTTGATGCCGCTCGTGCTGTTGCTGCGGCCGCTGCCATGTTCCGTTATGACAGCCATATTATAGGGCTCGAGATTAGTGGGTGGCGCCAATTTGCTGCTGGTTCTTAAAGCGGTCTGTAAGCAAAAGAACGAAATATTTGTCATAAGTTATAAAGTATCGTGAGTCAATAAAAATACAATTGGAAAATTTGCACTTTTCCCTTTTATAAGTCACTTTTCAATACAGAAGACCGGATTAGGATGAGTCCTTGCAGATACTTGTTGACCAATATGTTGACTCTTTGTTGCCAAGCAGGCATGTTCTGGGTAACAATCTTGAAGTGTTTCATTAGCTGCTGCTAAAAGGTAAGCCTTCCACTCCGAGAAATTCGTACTTTTTGGACCGCAGGATTGGGGTGAAAACATTTTATAAATCAGAATGGCTGCCAAAGCAAATTATAGCTTCCACACTTTCGCGTCGAACTGATGATGACACACAAATGTATCTGAAGTGAAACTTACGAGGTCTACATTATTTGGTATAGTATTTGTTGTTTGATTTCTTTTTTTTTACGAGTATTTTTTATCTCTTTGAATTACATCAGCGATGGACAGGGCGCAAAATGGGTTTTTCGTCTCAAGGGCAATTAAAAGTGTTGCTGGCAACAACGAACACCACACTTGCAGCGTCTGTGTGTCACGTTCAGTGTGTCAAGTTGATTCGCCGTCTGAGCACCGTGGGGCAGATTAATATTTGCGTGAATTTTATGATATACTGTTCATACAACAATTCATCAGAAAAAATAGAAAATATAAACGTTCATTTACTATGCACATTTGACTTTAAATTAAAAAGCATGGTATTTGATGCTACTGGTAAGGTATTTCCGAGCGAACCATTTAACTTAAATGGCGCCACAACAAAAAAATCCCAATTTTGGGACAAATCAGATTTTTCCTTTATTTATAAGTGTGTAGGTAAGGCTAGATAATCAAGTAAGAAGGGATTTATCGCAACTCAAACCCATAAAATGTATCTCTCTTAATTAAATTTCCGCTCTATTTGCCACAATTTTATGAAAAAAAAATAAAAATACAAAAATAAATATAAACAACAAATTACAAAAACAATCAAAATAGAAGTCAGTAGCCAATAACCATATCTTGTATATTTTTCAGGCAATGAGTACAATTTTTGCCTTGCTCTGCCTTGCAACAACTTCAAGTATAAATGTATTTTACAAAATGTGGCCATACAGAATGCCTCGAAACAACGAAACTTCTTGGGAAAACGAAATGTTTCAATTGAGTTCAAGTCGTTAACTATTCATTAATCGCTTACATCTACAATAACGGATTATTTCGAGCCAAGTATGTATGTAGGTAACCCATTTACCTTTAATTATTCGGTCAGGAACCAGTTACATTGGAAATGAACAAGCAAAACACCCTATAGCTCATCAGTTATTTTAGTATCCAATTAGCATTTTTAACACTTTTTGAGCAACAGTGTCGGAAATGTATTTTAAAGTGTACACTTTGCACACTTTGTCGCTGCTTTCTTACCACTGTGTGTAGCGGTTTCGGTAGAAACTTGTTTCAATATCATTGACGGCTACGGAAGTGCATTATACAAATGAATTGCTACTAAAAACCCTCATAAATTAGGTTTTCAGTTGTTAAATCTTATTTGTATTAAAAGTGTTCAAACATTTTTTTGGTGAACCGAGCATGCTACGATATATGTGTCTGCCAAACTTCAAGAGGTTCGGGAGTGTAGCCCAATTCTTTGCTGGGTAACGTCCTGTCGTCATCAAAAATATAACCAAAAATATTTCATTTCAAAATTTGAATTAAAAACATCAAAATTATAGCTGTGCTCACATTTTTGAAACAAAACAATCAAAATTGTTAGTGAATTTCCGCTACTTATTTACCAAAAATGAAAGTGGTTAAGTGTCTGTCTCATTGTATGCGATTGCTACGCGAGCGCGCCTCGCAGCAGATATTCGCACGACGATGTATTTCGCATTGCGGTCCAAGCTGTGCCTGGACGTGCGAAGGTTTCGATCGCAGGTGCCGCATCTATCAGGGCTTCCGTTCGAAACGCGAGGTGCATGATGATCGCTATAATTGGCGCGACCCGAAGACAAGTCGCACACAATCGGGCATGGATACGGCTTATGAGAGGCCTGACTATGCGCAGACGCAACCGCGATACGACGACAAGTACTACACTCCGTCGGGCTATCGCTTGGGCAATGCGGAAGGCGATGAGGGACGCTATGATGATCGGGCCGTTGCTGCGCAGCAGCGGAACGAGGAGCGCGTCCGCAGGGAGGCACAGCGTCGATACGACTTCGAGGAAACGGCTCGTCGCAATCGTGAAGTTCAGATGGCCGAACAGCCGACAGCTTCGCAGAAGTCGACGGACTACTTTAACTCGTTTCAGGATGTAGAGATGCGACGACGTCCCACGAAGCAAGGTAGCATCCAGCATCGCCAGATGCAGGAACGCATCATCGAGGAGAACAAGCGCAAGTGGCTGAATCGTCCCGAACCGAAGCGGGAGATCAATGCGCCCGGTGTTATATATCAGTTAAAAAATCCTCTTTATGCCGCAGAGAAGATACACCTCCATCATGGTGGTGGTGCTGGTGGTGGCAAGAATAGACGCGGCCAGGGTGATGATAAGGCTGCTGAGGAATACAGTCGTAGGCGTCGAGCCCAGCGCTTGAAGGAACTGAAAAGACAGGAGCGCGAGCTTCAAAAGAGCCGTCGCGGCTATAAATTTCCTAGGGCTGAGGGAGACTCCGCACCGGAGGGCAGAATGAAGGACAATGTAAGCCAACAAGAAACTGAAGCTCAGTATTGGCATTCGTGGCAAACGTGCCCTGACGAGCGCCGCATGTTCAAGACTGAAGAGGAGATGTCTGATGCAGAACCATCGTCAGGATATGGCAAAACAGATGCTCAACAACCCGGTCTCGTGCGTCCACCGCATCCATACGATGGCAGTCGACGTCGGTTCCAGACTGCGTCATTGCAACAGGCTGCCCGCCTTGATCTTGCCCCCAAGGCACTGGAGGAACGGGCTATGTGGCGAACAAACGGCATTAAGCCCCCATCCTACGATATGCGCGTTAAAAGGCGTGCGAGCCGCAAACTCACCAGCATGGAGAAGCAATACCAGCTGGCTTACGACTTAACTGATGGGCACAAGCGTAGACGATCCTCAGTGGCCGACGCCAAGGTCCAGCAATCGCAAATCAAAATGCCAATGCCACAAAAGATGTGGCGCAATCCTGTACCTGATGATGATGAGGTTGAGCTAATAGATATGGAATTGCCGCATCAGCCGCCGCGCAAGAAAATGTCCTGGAATGGAATGCCACAGTGGTGGCACAAACGTTTCAACAAAGGCAAGCGATCCCGCTCAAATGACTTCGAGGACGCAGCTGAGGAGCGTGATGAAGCCCCGAAAGTAAAACCGCCACGTTATCGCATGACCGTCCAGTCGAAGGCTCTCAAACGCATGCGCGTACCGGTTCAAAGCTTCTCGGAACGGTTAAGGATTGTGCCTCGCAACACGCCGCACAGCGAGTACACAGGATATTCTCGTCCCACAGTTTGCGATCAGTGGGAGAGCTTCAAGAGCGGCATGATCAGCAAGTCCATCTACTGATGTACCAGGAAGAAGACAAAGACGCACAATAAACAAACGAAATAAACCATTTTCAAGAGTCACATTTCGAGTAGGCGATGATGAGAATCGCATTCACATTCGGCCATTGACGCAAGACAAGCTAAACAGATTGATTTGAATAAAGAAAGACATATATATATATATATATATATAAATATATCACCTGATTTTTTTAAAGGGGCTAGAATCTCTCTATCTCTACTTCGCCTAATCTCAGTCAATGGCTACGGACGGATGGGGTCTGCTTTGATTGTTGTTTCTTTTTAATGCTGCAGTCCCCGAATCTGTTTTGTTAATATATGATTTTTCCTGAATAATGTAAATAACTCACAACACCTGACAGCGCACACAATAATAGTCCAAACGAAGAGTTTTGGAGTTGGAGCTACATTCTACACATATCTCTTTAGAGCCAAAGATTACTTAGATCCGGAAGGAAGCACTAAGATGGATTTCACATGGAGTCTGCCGCGCCCTCTTTTATTACACACATTCAGATTTCGGGGGAAAAGGAGCAACACAACAGCTTAGCTGGATTGCATGTAATTTTTGTTCTCCACCTAAAGACGATATGGATATCTTACTATAATTGGCTGAATATCGGTAATAGGCAGAGTTTAACTTTTTGGACTTTATGGGAGGGTTATAAGGATATCGACAGAACTATTGTTGATGTTCTAAATAAAAACAAGAGAGAACGCTACAGTCGAGCAAGCCCGACAGTGTAATACCCTGTACCCAGGTAAACTTCCGTCACTGAGTTCTATGCGTCCATAGCAGCCGCAAAAAGAGGAAGAAGTAGAGCGAACTTTTTGCTGCAGTTTGTGGGGGTTGTACTGGCGAGAATTTTTTTCGCTAATAACTTTTCTTAGAATTGATCGAATTTGATAAAATTTTAAACAACAGTAGATAATTATATAGAAATTATGTGCGTGGTTTAGGTAGCATTTGAAATGTGGACGCTATTGACGAAATTCTGTAGCGGGGGAAGGGGGGGAAAATTAAAAAAATAAAATAAACTCGTCCTTACTCGGACCTACGAGAATCTGGATGCCAACTTTGGTTATTCTAGCTTTTATAGTTTCTGAGATCCTTGCGTTCATCCAGACGGACGGACGGACAGACGGACGGACAGACGGACGGACAGACGGATGGACAGACGGACGGACGGATGGACATGTCTAGATCGATTTCTCTGGTCATGCTGATCAAGAATATATATACTTTATGGGGTCAGAGATGCTTCCTTCTGCATGTTACATACTTTGCACAAATCTAATATACCCTTTTTACCCTAGGGGTACAGGGTATAAAAACAAAAAAATGTTATGCATAGCCAAAGCTTTTGGAATTTCTATTTTCACTATCAATTGTGTCAATAATTTCAGAATTCCTTGAAGTTGTGTAACTAATAATAAGGCGTCACTCCTATAGTGACGATACTCTGCATTGTTTACTTCTTAAATGGCACACTTTTCGCTTCTGTTAAATATCAATTTGCATAGGTTTTAGGGAAGACCACGTTAGGAGAGCAAAAGCTTGTATCAAAACGAGATACCTGATTTGAGATGACAAGCTTATTAACGGATCTTTCTACAAATGATTAATAATATTTTTTTGTTTGTTTAATTTTCAGCAATTCTGCAACAATTGCGGTACTACCGCCTACACACACACACACACACTCACACACGCACACTCTCACACACACACTCATGCCAATGAAACTTGTAGTGCTTTTAAAGACCACAGTTCAAGCGGTAAGCTTAAGATTTTGCTCGTTTCCTACACGCCCAGACAGACACAAAAGCGACCGCTTAAAAGCAAAAGTATGCGTAGTCATCCAAACAAATGACGCGCATATCCGTGAGATACAAAAATAAAAGACAACGAGTGTAATGTAAGTAGTCAGCGCCTATACAGAGATCTAAAAAGATGTAAGTATGGTAAAAAAAATGCGTATAGAGTTGTATGTAGAGATTAATTTTGATTTTGTTTTTGGTTTTTTGGTCCCCCTCCCACTGCAGCTTGTTTGATGTTTTGTTATTTGTGTCAAGGCCAAGTAAAGTAACTCAACTTGAGTGCCGAAAATATTTGGAATTTACCTATTGGGCATTGTATTGTGGTTGCGGTTGCTGGCATCGCCGACAAGGTGTTAAGCATTTGATTTTTCATTTGGTACAAGACACAAAAATACAAAAACAAAACTTAAAATGCACGGTCACGGTCACGTACGATTGATCTTTTACGTGTCTATCGTTATACATACAAAGGTAATATCCATGTATGTATGTATAGCTACAAATACCGTTGATATTTGCCAATATCGTACGATATTTGTGTCCGCTAATTTAATACGGGTGCGTTAATTGAAAATCATGCTGAAAATCATGACTTTCTTGCCTTGATTTTAATATTGATCAAAATTTGTGGGTCCAAGATGTGTGGACTTTAGTAAATATTAAAGGCAATTAGCAGCTATATGGGACCTTCGCTTGATTTTCAGTTTTCTTACAAATTGACAGCCAAATTGTAATGACTCAACAGCTTTTGCTAATTGGCAACCATTGGACCTTTCAAGGTGTTGCGTATGCAGCTCCTAATTGAGACTTTCATTGCTGAGCGTGGCACATATCATCTAAAATGAAATACTATATGTCTTTCAGGTCTGGTCAGTATAATTTATTATGCAAATTGCACAGCTTCAGACATAATGTCGACCCTCAACGCACACTCGTGTTTGTTTCGTCATTAATTATGTCACAAACAGTACATTTTTATATTCAATAAAGCCAAATGTATGTAGGTTTGCGTTTCACGTGTTTGTCCAACAACTAGAAAGAGTATAACGCTCTTTGATTTACGAATTCTTCGCCTTTAATTTACCTTTTCTGAGAACTGGTTTGACTTGGACTAGGTCTTGGCTCTCTGACATTCAATATTTTGTATAGATTTGCATTTCATTTCCTGAAACATCAACGCCATTTTGGTTTCTATTTTTGTCTGGCAAATGTTAATGACAACGAAGGTATTATACCTTTGATAACAAATTGTCTGCCGTCAACATCAAATTCGCATTATCGCAAGTCATTGAACCTGTTCAAAATTGTAAATATTCTTCGATAGGTAAGCCATAGAATATTTTCTTTTACATATTTTGATGAATTACCTCAAATGGATGGCTGGTTTGAAAAGTTAATAAAGAACTTGGTTTTCAAAAGGTTGCAGCGTGCAAATGGTTTGTATTTTTTGTATCTCTTTTATTTTGCCTAACTTAAGAATCAGTATGCAATATTCTAAATATGAGGAAGTCTAACAACTAATTAAATATATTCAGCTTTTTGCTAGCTTCCGATTCAGATGAAACTATATAATGCGGATACATTTCACAAGACAGGTGTTTTTGAATTAGTGGAACTAAAAACAAAGGAAAACGATTGCGAATTTGTAGTATTAATCTATACTATGTGCTGGTCTTAATTATTCATTTTGTATTTCAGCATAGAAATGAATTTAAAACCAATTTTTCTTAAGAAAAACAAATTCTATTCTCGAGTAAATCATGGCTGCAATTCAATCGCTAAAGAAAATGTTAGGTACCAGTATTTATCTCAAACATTACATTGCATATTAAAAGTTTCAAATAAAATAGAGTTATAATTGTTAAAGTGAACAAATTAAAAATGTTCAGAGTATACTCGGATTTATACAAGAATTGCTTTTCAACGCCTAATTCGTAAATTTCGATGTCTATTGTTCGATTTAACTAGAAATATGAGTTGCATTTTATAAATAAGTATATAATATGTTAATTCCTGGAGAATCTTTTGTGAGAATTCCAAATTATGTATTTCTGTGCAAAATAACTTGCTCTTCCTGCTTTTAATCGTTTTCCCCCTCGCTTCACAATAAACTCAAATAGAATTCCCATCTATGTTGACGTTCGTCTATGCATGCCAATGATTATATAAGTAAGTTTTAAACATACATATATACTTCACTGGAGACATGGAGGTAACTTTGGTATATACACGTATGTGCGTATGTGGTTGCTAAGCGCAATGAAGCGTAGGGATTTCGCAGATGTTTCAGTTTATTTTTCCCTATTTTTGCACAATATTTATTTTCTGCTTTGTGCAGGTCTGCCTATATATTTTTGTTGTTGCTTTTGAAGCTTGACAAGTAAGCAGCCAATACATACAAGTATATACTTTATAGTATAAATATATAAATAAGTGGATAGATAAATATATACATACGGATAGCTACACTTATTTAAAAGATTTGCATAATTTCGCTAGGTTTTCGTTTCGTTTGCTAATTTTATACAACGAAATGCGAATGTTACTGAGTCTGGTTGTTGTCTATCTACTATACATACTATATGTATGTGTGCACATATATGTATATGCATATAGGAGTGTACTTGTATGTGTGTGAGTCTTTTAGTAAGCAAGAGCACGCTGGGGAGCAAAACCGTTTATGCATATTAAATATTTTGAAATTTCTTTCAGCTAATATATGACAGTTTGACCCATTTCGTAAACAACAATAGATATAACTATAGCTGGAGCAACAATAATAAAAAGTTAGCCTACAGCGTAATGTGACGTCTGCAAATGAGCTTTGGATAAAAATGGCAAAAAAAACCGCTGTGACGAACTCAATATACTATGTAATAGTATGGCCTTGCCTCGGCACATGTGCCACTTTCTATTTTATGAATGAGTATGGGCTTATTTTTTATTGAATTTTATACAAAAAAGAGAAGTGTATATTTTTATAGATTTGGACCGCTGTTATTTAATTTTGTGGGCCTTTTAACGCCGCACACTTCCGCCTTAGCCACAAAATGTGTAACAAATCAATTGCTTATGCGCAGCGTGACTTGAACTTGATGTCTATGTAAAGGCAGGTAAATGCGTAAAGAGCTGGCAAATCAATGGAACGCCTGTCTGTCAAATAGCAAGTAAAAAAATTAAAAAAAAAAAATAACAGCAAAAAAAAGCTTATGCTTTTTTGGTTTCCCATTCAAATCGGCATACGCACGCATACGAGTACAATAAAAAGCACAGCGCACTTAACTTTTTGGGTTGGGTCTTCTGCTGTACGTAGTGCTTGGCATTAGCATTTTTCGTTTTATTGGACCTTAACATTGAAACCCAAACTGAGTTCAATAAAATGCTGTTGAGCTTTATAATTGTTTGCTCAATGTCAACAAGTGGCGGCACAAAAGTGCTATAGAATCAAAAGACTGAGGCAACAAACGTGCCTGGTGCTTGACTCGCAAAAGGGATTTCTGATCAAAAGCCATTACCAATACACATAAATATCTAGATCTACTTGTAGAGACTACGCTTAAAACCTGCAGCCTAGCTTCATTTCACATACGTACCTATACTTAGGCTTTGCTGTCCATTACTCTTGGTTTTTTGATCAAAGCATTTTAATTTTGGCATGTGCATATTTGTATATATATACTTATATATTTATGTATGTATAAAGTTTATTGTCGCATTGGCGAGTCAAAAGAAATGATAAAACGTGGTTTGTCTGCCAACCGGTTTATCCATCTACTAATAATTTATTGAATTATTTAATATACATATGGAGAGAAGATAGAAGAGCTTGCAAACGAAAAAAATACTAAGTATAAATGCTGTGTCATCTTGTCAAAATTGCGACAATATTGCAAATTGGTGTAATAACATGATTTGTAGCGCTTTGTGTTACCTTCAAAAGAGCCAACAAAAGTCGAAAATAATAACAACAAATAACAAACTGATTCGAAAACACTCCACGCCAATGAAATTTCCAGCATAAACAAGAAAAAACGCACAGGCTTGGGAAAACGTGAAAAATTACTCACCGTTACGTCGCGAAAAACTTTATACACACACAAAGCACGCACACACACACACACCCGCAGAAACAGGCAAAGACAAAAAGCAAAACAACAACAATAACAACAACAACAATAACAACAGCAGCTACTAAACACACAGGCAATTGAAAACCGTTGTCGGAAAGTGAAAACGCAGCGTGTCAATAGCAGGACAAACAAATTAGATTTTACAAACGGCACTTTTTTGATTTTCACACATTTTTTCGCACATACAAGTACATCTGCATATATAGACTACATTTGTTAGATTTGTTTCTCTGCTTGCCCTTTAATTTTTTCTGTTGTACAGAGTTGCCGCAAATGTGCGTCAGAAACTCAAAACATTTCCGTTTGCGTATATCGTGTATTTGGCAATCAAACTTTTTGTGTGTTTTTTTTCTTTTTCAAATTACAATTGTTTCAGTAGTTTTATTTATTTTTGATCTGCTATTAAGTTTTGTATTTGGATTACTATTTTTTGTATTTCGATTTGTGCAACTTACACTAACCAAAAAATTGTTAAGCACACAAATATTGTTTAGCGAATAACTTTTTATGGATAGCGCGGTATAATTTCAGGTTGCTGCCAATGCCGCCGCACGCTCAAGTCTGACTGAGCGTTTCGGCATGAGGAAATTTTTAATACAGCTGAATGCTAAGAAAACCAACAGCAAAGCAAAAAAAAAAAAAAAAAAAGCAAAAACAAACACAGCAACAACAATAGCAACAGCAAGCCCAAGACGTGGTTGTATGGCAAACGAAACACGTAATGGAAATCGGAACATAAAATAATCAGCTCAAAAGCCAAGCGAACGTCGAGAGATACTAGTCGGCAGGCAGAGAAGGTGAGCTGTAGAGCGAGCTAGTGAGTGAGTGAGTGGGAAATAGCAAAAAAAAGCAACAACAACAACTAATTCAAAAACAACAACAGCTAAAACAAATGCAAAGTCAGCAAAGATACTGTAAAGTGAGCCGATCTGAGACTGAGCCAGCCACTCAGCATGAACAAAGTCAACTACAACTACAACAACAACAACAACAACAATAATGCCATGTACAGAAATGTTTTGGTAACAGAGCGAGAGCCGCGCACGCGCTGAGAAAGCGGACAAAACAACATTTTTTTTTTGGCCATGGAGCGGGCGGTGGGAGGAGGTGGAAAAGGTAGTCAGTGGTGAAGAGTAGCCGCCCGGCAACAATTGCGTTAGTTATCACATCACAGATAAGACATTTAAGCCAACCGTTTTGACCAACTTTTAGAGTACCAACATGCACTCGTATGTATTTCTGTAGAGCAGAGAGTGAGAAATATACCCTAAGAACCATTTCCATAGACACGAAGTGTCTATTTCCCGGATCCCGACCGTACACTAATTAATCGGCAGACATACAACAAGACTTTTAATATATGGATAGCGGAAGCTGTTAGAATGAGAAGAAAGAAAAATGTTACTTCCTAATCGTAGCCATAACATCAGCTAACCGGGCCTAAGCATATTGAAGTTTTTATACCCTGTACCCAAAGGGTAAAAGGGTATATTAGTTTTATGCGAGTGTACATGGAACACACAGAAGGAGGCGTGGCAGACCCCACAGAGTATATATATTCTTGATTAGGATGACAAGCCATGTCCGTCTGTCTGTCCGTCTTTCCGTCTGGCCGTCTGTCCGTATTTTTGTCTGTATGAACGCAAGGATCTCAGAAAGTATTAGAGCTAGAATAACCAAACTTGGTATCCAGATTCTCCTGAGCCCGAGAAAGGACGAGTTTGTTCATTTTTTCTGATGCTTTTCGGGCTTGCTCGACTGTAGCGTTCTATCTTGTTTAAATAATCTTATTAGCATATCATATTTGATACCGATATTTTGTTGCATTAATAGAATCATAAATAATATAGGAACGTATCAAATGAAAGCCGAAAATAGCTCAAAAATTACTCTTATATATTCGTGTATATACTTGTACGTTTTTGTGAATTTGAGCCTTGAAGGATTTCTTTCAGCATACAGCTGCGTTCAAAATAATAGCACCGCTTTTTCAAAATATGAGTTCTTTAAGAACATGTATAAATTGCTTCTTTATTGCCAAATCAGGGGCACATGGAAATGTGGGCAACTGCATTATATGCAACTATAGGTGCCAATCAATGATATCTTTTAACATCACTTTTTTAAACATAAGTACTAATAACAAGGAAGTATTTATTAATAGACGAAATATATGTCAATTAAAGCATATCGAAAAAAAAACCAGAACACCTCAAATGACAATTGGAAACAATGTTATTGTCCGATTCTAGCATGTGGAAAAACCTGAATTAGATTTGGTCTAGCACATTTATGTTTCTAGATATTAATTTAGTTTGTTAAACAATGAATCGCTAAAAAAATTGTTCTTGGTTTTGTTATTTCAATGTTGCAATTATCATACTCATGGCTTAAAGTAATTAAGACACGAGTAGAAGAGTTAACTTAATAAATAAATAAAAAAGCATTCAAAGTTATGTATATGTAGTATAAAGAATACAAGGTTACTATTTTTTTTTTGGTGGGACTGGAAGTTGCCGAAACTTAGAAACTTTGAAATCGATATGCTCAGAGACCGTAACTAATAAAACTATAGTGCTCGTTATGAATCACACGTACTTGGTTTTGAATAACTGGTCTACTTTAAATGTGAAATGTATAAAATATTAAATTTAAGTTAGCAAATATTGCATTATGGCTTATAGCTCTTCTGCCCTTTCAATGAGGTCAATTATTCAGCAGCATTATATTGCACGGGTTGGGAAATTTCGAGCTAATTTTTATGCACCTCGAGTGCGCGTTCATTTGCAGACAGCGGCACTTTTCTCACCCCATTTCATGTATATATAATGAATGTATATTTTATGCTGACTTGGTGTTTTCTTTTTCGTATTAATTATTGCAAATTTTGCGACGCCTGCATTAATTTCTCGCGACCTGACCTAAAATGCAAGGCGAGTACTGCATGCAATTTATTGCACTGTATATATTAATTTGAATGCATGTGCATAAATAGTTGTAGAATAAGGAAATGCATTGTACATGATTAGGTTATGTGTGTTTATGCATAGGTCACATTTAGAGGCTGTTATGCAAATGCAGCTCAGACGATTTCATTAAAAATCACCGATTGATTTAATGAATATAAGTTGTCTAAGGTCTAACATTACAAATTTGTATAAGCTGATGGCAAATATTTCACTGCTCAAATGTCAATTTGCGTTCAATAAATGCGCATCAAAAGTCCACATAAAAACACCAGCAATAGCCATTACAACAACGATAACAACAGCTTACAATTATGTTGACATGGCTGGCAGTGCAGTTTCCAAAGTAAATAGCCAAGAGCTCAAACTGAAAAGATATGCTGGGCTATATACTTGTAGTAGACCTGCTCATTTAGATATATACACGTACATATAGTAGTATACAAGTATGGGCAGGTAGGTGGGTACAGCTCTTGTCTTCATATATGTATGTATGTATAGTACATGAGTGCGTGGGCTTGGCGCTTTCGTGTACTTGCAAACACTTCAGCGGCTAGGGACAAGTGAGGAGGGGCAACTAAACAAATAGTACACGAAAATGTTGGACAAAGTACGTAAGGTAACAAACATTTTGTGTTTAGGCTCAATTGCAAATGACCCAAAAAAACAGATGGTGTCTCCATAGGCTTAACAGGCATACCACATAGGAGTATGTATGTATGTATGTTTGTACAAGTACCAACAAAAGAGTTACACGTAAAACGCATCAGGTGTAATTTTGTTTTTTATGTACAAACCTATATACGTGATGGACAAAAGAAATGCCAAAATTGGCAATAATTTGTGAGACACGCAAAGGAAAGTGACAAGTTGTGGCTCTGCTTTTGGTAAAGTATGCTGCATGGAGACTTATGGAGAGCTCATACAACTCTTTTTCGAATATTAGCGTTTGAACCTATCAGTTACTTATTAAGAAACACGAGTGATTGAAGAAAATAATTTTAAAATAGAGCAAATGGTTCTCATTTAGAAGAAAACAATTGAAAAATGGATTACAAAATTAAAATGAAGAGAAATGTAGTGAAATGTACTGTCGAGCAACATTTGCTTACCATTTATTTTGTTTGTTTTAGGTATTGTATTTTGCTTCCATTATTTATAGGCCATTTATAAAAACACACAAACGAAAACCACGCCATAACAATAACAATAAATTGATTGAAGAAAACAATTTGAAAAAATTATAAATGAAAATACAAGCTGAGCCAAGGAAATATAAGTTTTGTTAAAATGCCTTGAGCGATGGTTCACGCCCCTACTCTTAGGCCTGAGAAGGCTCATTGTCATGCCATTTAATTTCTTTGGGCTTTTATTGGTCCACGTTCAACCAGCGGGCTACGATCTTCAGGTTCGTTATATCGGTGAGATTAGTTCGCAAAGGTTGCCCGAAAGCAATGGGCCAGAGTCTGCTAGGAACTGGAGGGCAACAATGAAGGTGCTCTAGGCTTTCCACCTCTTCTTCATCTCTTCAACTTTTGCAGAAATCGTTTGATGGCGTAAGAATCTCCACCACAGAGTTTAATTCTTTTCGGTTTTGAGAGTGTTGTGGTTCTTTTGGTGTCCAGAAGCAGCCAGGTCAAGCTTGGTCGAACACACTGCTTCCAGTTTTGCTGGGGACTTGTCCGTTGTTGGGCGAGCTTTTATACAAGTATGATAAGATATTAGTTAAATAATTATATTAATTTTGCATATGTATGAAAAAAGTTTTTTTTTTAAAGATTAAGTCACTATTAAAGTTGTGAATTTCCCACCAAAAGACACAATTAAAATTATTATTATATTATATTATTATCTGTGTGTTCAGCTTTCAAGAAGAACTTATAGTTTTATTGATAAGATAATAAAGATTGTTCGTCAAATTCTTATTTTTTTTTTTTATTATTTGATGTTTATGTATATGTTTATGGATGGCGGGGAAGGAAACACATTACTTGAAACTACACCAAAATGTAGATTAGTTGCTTTGTGTTCATGAGCCCTAAGTTGCTTTTGTTGTAATGGCACACATAGTTGATATATCATTTGAGCATAGGTGCATTGTTATAATACATCGTTATGCATACATCACACCACAAAATCTATAAATAACTGGTGACCAAGAGGTTCAGGGTCAGTAAATAATATAATGTCCATTATAGTAAAAACAACAGTATATAGAAATATAAGGTTTTACCGCGATTAGCGGCTGAAAAAGTACATTTCATTAACAATACATTTTTTAACACAAAGAACGCGGATAAACATAGGTGAATTAATGAAAAATTAAATACCAGTCTGTACCTATAATTTTATTGAAATTAAATTTAAATTCAATCACGTTCCAATAAATTAGGCTTAATACTTGTATATGGTAGATATTTTGAATTTTCTGTATATGTTCACAAATATCTGAATGCATTTCCTCATCGCTAAGTAATTATAGTGTATTTGTTGTGAATGAGAATCGAAAGGGCTACAAAGTTCACATTCTGTTTATCAAAAACAGAAAATTTAATCGTACGTATTAACTGCATTCATACATACCTATCCTA